GAAGCACTTACTCTGCATAAAACAGAGGGTCATTATTGTTATAAGGCATACACCATTGAAATTAACTGATTTAAAATTTTTCAGTTAGTACATTTTACTCATGTTTCTAGTCAGTTTTGAAAGGACAGATTAATAGTTATTAATTACCTTGTTTTTCTAATCATTTTTTTGTATGTATAAATGAGTCCTGGTGTAGGTTATTTATTTGCTTCGTCATAACAGAACTTAAAATGCAGTAGGATTTGATAGTATACTTTTTTTTTTTTTTTTAATGCTGGAGGGTGCATAAACATATGCACACAGAGAGAGAGAGAGAGAGATGGTGCATGTGTGAGAGCATCCCCCCAGTGATCATGCCACCACCATCCATTTTCCTTTAATTCTCCATTTTGTCAGGATTGTGGTCATGCGTATGTTCTGTGTTCTTCAGGCCACTGGGCCAAGACTTAAACCCTGATTGGACATGTGAGATCTGGCTTTTTCTACCTAATGCTTAACTGCTGCTCTTTGGGTTGGCCAAGGTAAGAGTTTTAATGAGTGTTTAGTTTTTTTACTCAGAAGGTATATCAAAAAAAAAAAGAGAGAGAGAGAGAGAGAGAGAGGTTTTTGCTATAGGGTTTGTGCGTTTGCACAGAGAGACAGACAGAAACAGAAAGTGAGAAATCACACCCCCTCCCCCCCCAGAGGGGATAGCCCTGTTGGAATCCCTTCTCCTCCATTCTCCTCTCGGGATCTTGGGCACACACGCCCGGCATGAGTTTAAGCCACCGAATCTGGGACTCGAACCTCGGTTGACTACATGGGAGTCCAGCGACATAGCCATTACACCAACTGCTGGTCCTGGTATATCAAAATATTAATGTTCTCTTCTAAGTCTGAGTTCTCTAAGTAGGAGGGGGGAGAGGATATGAAAGTTAAAAGAAAAATTGAAAAGTGATTTTACTTTTATTTCCTTTACTTGAAGCCAGTCATGAAATATCACAGTAAATTGTGAGGTGTGGGATAGAAGGAAGGTGGTGTTAAGAATCATCAAAGTCTGGGGCTGGCAGGTGGTGTGGTGGTTAAGGCGACTGGACTCCTACATGGCTGATCATGGTTCAAATCCTTCTCACTCTCTGGTCAACTTTAAAGAAATAAAATGTTGACAATGAATAAAATTAAATAATTCTTAAAAAAAAAAAAAGAATTATCAACACCTTGACCCAGTTGTTTCAAGAAGGTGCAGGCAGGGCAGTCCTCACTCAGCTGGAGGAATATAACTGCCTTTCTTCTTTCTGAGGTACCTGTTTAATTTTTACCACATTTGTGAACTCCTGCCTTATGGCCAGGTACATCAAGGGCATATTATTCAGTATAAGCCCAAAGGTTTCTGCTTGCTCTGTTAGGTCATCACTTACCTTTCTGGAGAGCTTCCATCTCTGGGATATTAGTTCTTTAACATCAGACCAAGCCATCTCTGACTTGAGGTCCTCTGTAGCAATAATCCTGCCTGATACTGGTGAAGATGTAGGCTAGCAGTGGGCTGGAAGAGGATGTGCAGGGATATGTTTTCATTCTGTACATCTTTGCTACTGGTGATGGCTGGCACATTATATGGCGCGAGTAGTAATCAAAGATAGTTGATGGGACCAGCAGATGGCATAATGGTTACATCGATGTACTCCCACATACTCAACTGCAGTTCGAGTCCCAGACCCAATGGCTTAAAACTCACGTTGGGTGTGTGTGTGCATGTGCGCGTGTGCACATGCGTGTCCAAAATCCAAGAAGAATAGAGGAGAAGGAATTGTGGCGTAGCCATCCCCCCTGGGTGTGGGGGATGATTTCTTGCTTTCTGTTTCTGTCTCTCCAGCAAGTGCATACACCCTATAGCAAAAAATCTAAACAAACAAACAAAAAGTTGGTTTTGGGCCAGCAGGTGTAATGGTGGTTAAGGTGCTGGATCCCACATAGCTTACTTCCTGGTTCAAGTCCCGGAATTCGAGACTTAAAAAAAGCATTCCATGTGCCCCAAATCCCAAGAGGAGCATGGGGGCAAAGGGAATTTGGCATCCTTCCTGTGGGGGTGATTTCTCACTCTTCTCTCTCTGTGTCTCTCTCTAGCAAGTGCACATGCCTCGATCCAAAAAAAAAATCAAAACTTAAAAAATCTAAAAAAAATCTAAAATAAAGAAAAAGATAATTGGTTTCTACCTAAGAGTTGAAAAAGTGAGTTCCTTCCTCCCCATTAGAATGGCCTACAGTCCACAGCATCAGGGAAAGATGACAACTCTATACCTAGCATCCATGTTATGTAGAAGTAGAGTTCACACATCTTGCAGACCCTAAGGCCAAGCTGAACTTGCTAATGGATCTGAACACTTAGGTAGCTATATTTCTTTCTGTTGAACCCATTCAACTCAAACCTGCTTCCATTTTGGCCATTAACTTTTTTTGTTTGTTTGTTTTTTTGGAGAGCTTTTTGTGATAGAGGGCTTGCACTCACCAGAAAGAGAGAGAGACAGAGAGATAGAAAGTGAGAAATCACCCCCAGGGGGGATGGCCATGCAACAATCGCTTCTCCTCCATTCTCCTCTTGGGATCTTGGGCACGCACACACACGCGCCTGGCTTGAGTTTAAGACACCGGGTCCGGGACTGAAACTGTGGTCCAGCTACATGGGAGTTCAGTGACATAGCCATTATGCTAACTGCTGGTCCCTTGGCCATTAACTTTTTCAGGGTACTGTTTAGTACCATTGGCCATAAACATAACCATTTGGGTCTCTCACAGTTCATATAAATAGACACCATTCAGGTCTCTGGTAGATACAAGGTGTCTTGCTTAGTATGTTCAGCTGCTTTCCAAATGAATTTGTCTAATTATTGCAACTCTGGTGTTATGTGTAAGGTACTGCAGGGCATGGAACATCACATTGATGGGTCCTTCCTCTGTTCCTACAACCCTATGTCCTCACATATTAGAGCTTTGATACAGATAAAATTTAAACCATTTTAGCTGGTTACCTCTTTATATGTAGAACACCAAGTGCTAGATGGGTGACCTGGACATTTTTTTTTTTAATTAAAGTTTAAAAACACCTTGCTTATAGGGCATGTGAGTGGAAGCCTCTAAAGTTTTGTTACCCAAAATGTGGTCTATAATAGATCCATTCTCTCTACAACACCTGTGAATTTATCAGAAATTTAGAAGCTTAGGCTATAGCCTAGATACACTGTATCAGAATCTTCATTTTAGCATCATATCCTGGTGATTATTATGTAGTATGATAAAGTTTTTTTTTTAAATGATTTATTTATTTTTATGTTATATTTTCACTTACTATAGTCATCAGAGAGAGGGAGGGAATGTGAGAAAGCAAGCCACCAGGTATGGGACTCAAACTGTGGTTAGTCATGTGGGAGTCCAGTGCTGTAACCATTAATGCCACCTGCTGGCCCCATGTATAATAAAGTTTGAGGAGCATTGCTTTAGTTGCTTTAGCATTTCTCAAATCTGGTCCCTGTCTAGTATCATCAGCATCATATAGGAACTTGTTATAAATGTAAATTCTCAGGCCCTAGCCCAGACCTACAGACTGAGAAGCTCTGGGATGGAACCTAGCAGTCTGTTTTATTAGTTTCTCTGGGTGAAGTTTGAGAATCTGTTTAAAATTTACATTTCTAACAAGTTCACAGGTGATGTCAATCAGGAACCACACTTTGAGATACATTGCTTGCAGGGTTAGGTATAGTTTTATGAAGATCCAGAAAAGAAGGTTTTTAAGTTTTGCAGCCTCTATAGTCTGTCACAACTACCAATTCTCCTGTGGTGCTATGAAAAAAACCATAAACAATATATATGTAAAAAGGCCATGAGTATTTTCCAATAAAACTTTATTTACAAAACCAGTCTGCAGGCTGGATTTGGCTCATATTTTATGGGCTCCTGTTCTGGAGTAGTGAGAAGGAATAAATTTAGACCAGAGGGCTCTAGTTCTCAAACATTTTAATCTGAGAATCTGTTTATATTCTTAAAAAATTGAGGACCTCAAAGAACTTTTGTTTATAAGGGTTATATCACTATTTATTAGGAATTAGTAGAGAAGTACAAAGATACTTATTCATGAAGAAAAATAACAAAACAGTAGTAAGTCAATTACATATTAACACAAATACATTTTATTAAATAATAACTATTTTCCAAGACCAAAAAATTGTGAAAAAAGTATTGTTTTATATTTTCTGCAAATGTCTTTATGTCTTGCTGAATAAAAGCTTCAGTGTTCTGTCTGTTGTGATACATTGTCTTGGCTAAAGTATATGAAGAAAATGAGGCCTCATATAGAAGATTAGTTGAAAGGAGATTTGTATTTTAATAGCCTTTCAGATTTTCTTTGACACATTGAAAATACAGGTAGTAGGTTTTTTGTTTTGTTTTGTTTTTGAGAGAGGTTTCTACTATAGGGCGCATGTGCTTGCCAGAAAGACAAGAGACAGAAAGTGAGAAATCACTCCCCAGGGGCAATGGCCATACTGCAGTCCCTTTTCCTCCATTCTCCTCTGGGGATCTTGGGCAAGCATGCACATGTGCCCAGCATGAGTTTAAGCCACTGGGTTGGGGACTCGAACCGCGGATGACTACATGGGAATCCAGCGACATAGCCATTATGCCAGCTGCTGGTCCTCCATCAACAACGTTTTTAAAGTTAGTCCCTGGTGAAGAATAATGACTAATATAGTTTAGGGCTCCTATCTTGATTTGTTTGTTGACACTTCAGTGAATCAAAGTTTTAAAAAAAAAGTAATGTCTCAGGGTTATTAGGAAAATAGTGTTAACTATAGGCCACACACTACATTTTGAACCCTGGTTGCTTTAGGGTTTCCTCTATAAATTTCTCATGCTACATGTGTGTAAGTGTAAATTACTAAAAATGACACACTTTTTTGGAAAAAAAGAATAAATTTTAAACTCACTGTAGCACTTTTCATCTTTTGAAAATACTTGTGCTTTCCTTGTAGGAATGTATCCTGTCAGGTATAATGTCAGTGAATGGAAAGAAAGTTCTTCACATGGATCGAAACCCATATTACGGAGGAGAAAGTGCATCTATAACACCACTGGAAGATGTAAGTAATAGCAAAAGTTAATATGCCTTTGGTTCTTTTAAGAGTTTTACTTGTGAATCTCCACTCTACTATAGAAAGAGTTTTTTTTTTTTTTTTTTTAGAGATTTTCACTGTAGGGCGCGTGCGCTCGCCAGACAGACAGAGAGAGACATAGAGACAGAAAGCGAGAAATCACCCCCCAGGGGGGATGGTCACGCCGCAATCCCTTCTCCTCCATTCTCCTCTCGGGATCTTGGGCACGCACGCACACGTGCCTGGCGTGAGTTTTAAGGCACCGGGTCCGGGACACGAACCGCGGTCGACTACGTGGGAGTCCAGCGACATAGCCATTACACTAACTGCTGGTTCCCTAGAAAGAGTTTTAATAGTAAATCTAGAGCAGCAGATATTGAGTTTGGGTTTTTTAGAAATTTAAATTGTGACCTTTGTTGCCATCTGGCATCTGTTATCTTTCACAATTACTATATACTAAAAAGATTGACTAGATTGTCTGATGTGCCAGGCACAATGCCAGGAGTCATTCTTTCAGTTACTTAAAGACTTATCTGCATTTTTCACAGTAGTTTCCATGTGGTTAAAATCTTAAGAGATGGGTTGTGACCCTATAGGATTCCAAACCTTTGTTCCTTTTTATTTTATTTTTTTGGAGAGGTTTTTGTTATAGGACACATGCACTCTCCAGAAAGAGAGAGACATAGAGACAGAAATTGATAAATTAACCCCTAGGAGGGATGACCATGCCATAATCCTTTCTCCTCCACTCTCTTCTTGGAACTTTGGGCAAATACGCACATGTGCCCAGCGTGAGTCCAAGGCACTGGGTCCGGAACTTGAACCATGATCGACTACATGAGAGTCCAGCGACATAGCCATTATGCCCACTGCTGGTCACCCAAACCTTAGTTCCTTTTACTTGACCTGCCCTGTTTCCTAGGTTTTTTTTTTCCATACATGAGTATGTGAAGCATATCCAAAGTATGTTTTTACTAAGTTTATTTATTTTCTGTGTGAGTTTTGTTGAACTTCCACATGTATGGACCTGAGCTGTTTTTTTTTTTTTTTGTAGAGTGGTTTTTGCTATAGGGCAAGTGTGCTCACCAGAGAGACAGAGAGAAATGAGAGACAGAAAGCGAGAAATAACCACAATACAATCCGTTCTCCTCTCAGGATTTTGTGTATGCATGCACAAGGGCCCTATGTGAGTTTTAAGCCTCCAGGTCTGAGACTCGAACCATGGTCGAATATGTGGAATTCCATGATCTAACCATTACGCCATCTGTTGATCCCTGTACTGTGTTTTATGGGCGATACAGAGATAATCATGAATGACTTAGTACTTTACACCAAAAGATTTTCTTGAAAAAAAAAGATTTTCTGTAAACAGGAATACAGAAAAGTTGAAAAAAAAAAAGCACATCAGAAACCTTCCATCTGAATTCAGCAGTTAACATTGTGCTATATTTGCTTCTTGTGTCTATTCCTTTTTTTTAAAAGTCTACTACTGATTTTCGACCATCAAAAGTAACAGACACCATGATACTTAACCTAAAATTATCAAGTTATGTACTATTATTATATTTATAAAAAATCGAAAATATCCAGACCATATTCAAATTTCCCAGTGACCCCTAGAATGTCTTGTATAGCTGTTTAATAATCTTTCATTTTGTTTTTTTTGATTTTTGCTATCAGGCACATGTGCTTGCTAAGGGGCAGAGAGAGAGAGAGCATGCAGTAGAGCACCCCAAGGGGGTGACCACAGTACAGTCACTTCTCCATTCTCGGCTTTTGGACACACATACACACATGCCCAGCGTGTTTTTTAAGCCAGTGGGTCTGGACTGGAATTATGCAGTTGGCTATATGAGATCTATAATCTAAACTGCTGTGCTATCAGCTGACCCCATTGTTTCATTTTTTAAATCAAAGATTCGAGTATTTGATTGGGTGTTGTTTTTCTTTATTCTGTTAATCTCTAAAAGTCTCCTCACTTTTAAGAAAATGTTTATTTTATTAATGATAGTATGTGTGTGTGCACTCGTGTGTGAGAAAAGCACCGTTGATAGAGTCTCTATGATCCCTTTTCCCTGGCTCTCCAGTTTGTCAGGATCTTGGACATTCATGTATATACTTGGTGCGTTTTTGAGATCACCTGGGGTTCCAAACCCGTGGTCAGTTGTGTGCCTTCCAGCATTGCAGTTCAGTTTGCTATCATCAGACTGAGCCTCCTTCCTTTTTTTTAAGTTCAGAGTAGTTTATAGGAAGTTACTGTTGACTATTCATATTCGTATTACATAACATTGGGAAACATACAATGTCAGATTAATGATGCTAACTTTTTTTTTTTTTTGAGAGGTTTTCGCTATAGGGTGCGTACGCTCGCCAGACAGAGAGAGACATAGAGACAGAAAGTGAGAAATCACCCCCCAGAGGGGATGGTCACACCGCAATCCCTTCTCCTCCATTCTCCTCTCGGGATCTTGGGTACGCACGCACACGCGCCCAGCGTGAGTTTTAAGCCACCGGGTCCAGGTCGCGAAACGCAGTCGACTACATGGGAGTCCAGTGACATAGCCATTATGCTAACTGCTGGCTCCCTAATAATGCTAACTTTGACCCCTTGGTTCAGATGATTACTACCATATCTTTCTATTGTAAGTAATTTGTGGAATAATGTATTGGCTCTGTTTTATTTTATTTAGTACATTTATTAGATGATCTTAAATAAGATGTTCATGGTGTCTTTTCCTTTTTGAGGGGAGGGTGAATATATTAGGGACCTGTGAACTTTTTTGAATAAATGTCAACTTATTTTGTTCTACCATAGCTATAGGATTCATGAAGTTGAATGACTATTATCAAACTTTAAATTACAAGCTTCATTTTATCTTAGAATCTATTCAACTCATTTAAATGAACTGTTCTTTCCCTCTCCCCCCAAAAAAACCCCAAAAAACAAAGAACCACAGAAGAACCTAAGGAAAATTTTCTAGATGATGTTTAGTACTTTGTGATGGTATCATGGGTATAGAGATATGTCCAAACTCGTCAAATTGTGTACATTAAACATAAGTATTTTATTAATTACAATTCATTAAAGCTTAAAAAGTAATAGCTGGAACTAATTCTGATTCTCTTTTCTAATTTGAAAAATTGCAGATTTATTTTAGCTCCTTACATGCTACAGAAGCAAAATTAAGCCTTTGATAGCTTTCTATTAAGGAAAGAATGAGTTTGAGTGACTTTTGCAGATAATAAGAGATGCACCTACAGAACCAGCAAGCTAACAGCTAGTTTGATTTGTATTCTTACTTTGCTGCTAAAAACCAAGCAAACTCCCTTGTGCAGTATTTTGTATTCATGAGTTTACTAGTTCATCTCATGTACACATGTATTGAAATTGTGCTAAAACCTTTGTTTTTTAAAAAATTAAATGCCCTTATACTTTACTTCCTGTGTATTTAGTTACTATTCCAAACTTAATTCAAAAGTCATTGCATATTATAATGAACAGTTTTTTTACATTGTGGGTAATACTTGTTTTGTTTTTAGTTATACAAAAGATTTAAAATACCAGGAGCACCACCAGCGTCAATGGGGAGAGGAAGAGACTGGAACGTTGACTTAATTCCCAAGTTCCTTATGGCTAATGGTAAAGAATTCTGACTTAAATTTATGACAGTAATTTAAAAGTACAAACTAACGCTTGGCACACAATGTTATTTTGGATATAAGGAACTGGATTTTGTTGAGTGGCAGCATTATGGTAAGTAATGTAGCGCATTAGAAGTGTCTGGCATCAGGGTCAGCTAGTGGTGGTTAAGGTGGCTGGATCCCACAAGGCCAGCTGTGTGGTTCGAGTTCCGGACCAGCAGCTTGAATAACATGCTGGGCGTGTATACCTGAGTGCTCTAGATTCCGAAAGGAGAATGGAGATAAAGGGATTGTGGTGTGGGGTTCATTGTGCAGTGATTTCTCACTTTCTCTCTCTCTCTCTCTTTCCAGTAAGCCCATTCACCCTATGGCAAAAACTACAAAAAAATCTTTTTTTCTTTTTTTGCCGTAGAGTGAGTGTGCTTACTACAGAGAGAGACAGAGAGAAGGAAAGTGAGAAATCACCCCAAAGGGGGGATGGCCACATTGCGGTCCCTTTTTCATTATCTTCTCAGGATTTTGGGCACACACACCCACACCCATACACCCAGTATGATTTTCAAGCCACTGACTCTAGGACTTGAACCACTATCCGCCTTGTGGGAAATCCAGCGCCTTAACCACCATGCCAACTGCTGTCCCCACTAAGGATGTTTTAAAATTGTTGTAATATTAGTACCTTTTTCTGAGATGACATTGGAAAAATTAAATTCTGGGTCGTCTTTGTGTACCGTCTAATAAAGTATGTGCTACTCTTCCTACTTAGTGTTTATATTCTTTAATTTGTTTTGATGGTAAGAGATATTAATTAAATTTTCTCTGAATTGTAAAATTAACTATTAATAACTGAACTTTTCTAAGGTAAATTGTTAACTATTTACTTGGTATTTCCTGGTGTTTTACTAGGAAATCACTTTTTTTTTTTTCCTCATGCATTGGGTGATATGTATGTAGGTAGTAGATGGGCTCTTTCAGACAGACTTTCACTGGCCACTAGCTTAATCCTCATGTTTCCCACCTCCTGAGTAGCTGGGACTACAGCTGTGTGCCATTGTATTAGGCCTTTTAGGATGGGTTGGGAATTAAACCTGGGCTTCTTATGTACCCTCAGCCTGCCTAGCTGCAGCACTTAGCATGTGCTACTGCAACTGGGCCAAGGTTTTTTATTATATAAGTAATAAAATGATTTTATTAAAATTAGAAAAAGTTAAATAGAAAGGTAATGCAGTTTACATAAGCAAAAATCTCACCATGTAGAGTATGTTACTATGCTGATATAGCCTATATCATTTTAACTTTTTTTTTTTTTTTTCAAAGTTTGCTGTAGGGCACATGTACTTGCCTTGGGTGATGGGAGAGGAGGGGGAGAGAAAGTGAGACATCATTCCCAGGAAGGATGGCCATGCCACAGTACTTTCTCCATTGGATTCATACAAACATCCAGCATGTTTTTTCAAACCACTGGATCCAGGACTGAAACTACACAGTTGGCCATGTGGGATTAAGCTGCCTTAACTTCCATGCCACCTGCTAACCCTTGCCTATATTATTTATATAAATACAAAATATACTATAAATAGTATGTTTTCTCCCTAATTAATGTTGTGTTTTTCAGCTACTATATTATAAATGTTGAGAGTTTGTCTGTGTTAGTAAATGTCATAGCTATTCTTAGAATTGTATTATGGGTATAAAGGCAATGAATGTTTTTGTTTTGTTTTTAGAATTTTAACACAGGGTACATACTCTTGCCTAGTGAGAGACAGAGAGAGAGGAAAGTTAGAAATCACTCCCCAGGGAGGATGGCCACGCCACAGTCTGTTTTCCTTCATTCTCGGAATCTCTCCGGACGTGGGGCACATGTGCACACCTGTTGACTTGATTTTCAAGCTGCTTTGTCTGGTATTAGAACCATGGGAATCCATCACTTTAACTGCCACACCAACTACTAGCCCCAGCAATGTTTTTTTTTTTTTAATTTTTAAATTTATTATTGTTAATTTTTAATCTGACCAGAGAGAGACATGGAGAGAGAGAGGGGGTGGGGGAGCGAGAAAGCAGGCTACCAGGTCTGGGACTCAAACCATTGTCAGCCATGTGGGAGTCCAGTGCCTCAACCACCACGTGACCTGCTGGCCCCCAATGATCTTTTTAAGGCTTTTCCTTTTTATTTATTTATTTTTAATGAATTATATTATTTTTTAAACATTTATTTATTTATTTTAATTTGACCAGAGAAGGATAGAGAGAGAGAGAGAGAGAAGAGAAAGCAAGCCGCCAGGACTGGGACTCAAACCACGGTCGACCATGTGGGAATCCAGTGGTCTTAGTGACCACGCCACCTGCTGCCTCCCCCTTTTTAAGAATGAATTACCTTAACTTCATTTATTTATTTAAATTTGACCAGAAAAAGAGTGACTGAGAGAGAGAGAAAGTGAGAAAGCAAGCCACTAGGTCCAGGACTTGAACTGTGGTTGGCCATGTGGGCATCTGGGAGTCCAGTGCCCGTAACCAACATGCCATTCGCTAGCCCCAAGGCTTTTCCTTTTATTACATTTTCACTTGTGACACTTCCCCTTTCCAGATATTTTTATTGATATTATTCATCTTAATTTTTGTCATTTTTTTTCATAGAGAAGTAAAATAGGGTTTTTAAAAATATCTTTTTATTTTACAAAATGATTTCTACATGTTTGTTGGCTTCTATTCCTTTATTGAATTGGCCAGCTTTGTGCTTTGCACATTTTTCTATTGAAGTTTTCGAGTTTTTTCTTATTGATGGGAAAAAGCTCTTTATAAATTTTAAGAGGATTTTTGCTACAGGGTGTGTGCACTCACCAGAGAGACATCCCTGGGGGGATGGCCATGCCACAATCCCTTCTCCTCCATTCTTCTCTTGGGATTTTGGGCATGCACACATGCACATGCACCCTACGTGAGTTTTAAGCTGCTGGGTCCAGGACTCAGTCAGTGAACTGTGGGAGTCCAGCGATGTAACCATTACACCATCTCCTCGTCCCATGGTTATTACCTTTTAAAAAATAGGTTGAAAATGTCTTTTCCAGTTGTGATTTGCCTTATAACTCTATTGTATTTTTTCTAGATAAAAACTTCTAATTTTTATGTTATATTGGTTGATCTTTTTACCTTTTATTGTTTTTGATTTGTGGAGATTATGCTCAGAGAAATTTTCTTTCTATTTCAGTGTTTAAAATACAATTGATAATATTTTAATGGTTTTATAGTTTTTTTTTCATCATATAAATTTACCTGTTTTACCATATAAATAGATAAATATTTTATTAAATCATCTACTTTATTTTGACTGAAAAGTAGGGATTGAATTTTTTTCAAAATGGCTAGTTTTTTCTTAGCACTATTCATCTTTTCCATTTTGAATTGAACTTGTATCATATATTAAATTCTATAGTAAATTCTTGTACATGGTTCTTTATATTGTTTTCTCCTTACTTAATGGACCACTTGATATAATTGTGAACTTTAACATTTGACTTTGTTAATCTCTTGTTACTTTATTCTTCAAAACTTTTAAGAAAATGTTTAAAATATATTTTTATTTCTACTAATTTTTAATGGTTTTAACATTTAAGTTAATTTGACTTTTCTAGGTCAGCTGGTTAAGATGCTGCTTTATACAGAGGTTACTCGTTACCTGGATTTCAAAGTGACCGAAGGGAGCTTTGTCTATAAGGGAGGAAAAATCTATAAGGTTCCTTCCACTGAAGCTGAAGCCCTAGCATCTAGTAAGTAATTTTATTTTTATTTTTTCAGAATAGTGAGATTTTATGGTGTGAAGGAATGTTAGAGATTTATCTGTCCAGTCAACAAGTATTTATTGAATGTCTGTCATCTGCCAGACACTGTTTTGGGCAGTTGGGAATAAATCAGTGATGAAAATGTTCAGTAACAACTCTCACCTTTTGAAACTTAGAGTTTAAATGGCCATCCATTGACAGTGTAGCTTGTTACTGATAGATCTGGACCTGTTAGGGACAGGAGCACTATTTTCGTGATCACAACAATTATCACTTTCTTTTCAATGTTTCTTGTGTGCTAGACTCTGCGCTGAACACTTAGCATCATCTTTTCATTTAACTTTCACCTCTATATATAGCCTTTTTAGGATTGACAATTGGGAAGGAAAGTAAGGTTCTTAATTTTGAGTTAGTACCTTAATTAGGGGTTTGAAATGATGTTAAGTCTTTAAATGACAGTGTAAATTTAATCCCAATAAAGCGTCTTCATAGAAATAGGAATTTGAGAGTTGGAATAGAATCCTTACCAAAATAGTGTATGTATATGTGTGTAGCATTCTTTTTTTAAAATATTTATTTTAATTTTATTTATTCATTTTTAAAATATGACTGGAGAGACACAGAGAGAAAGAGAGAGAGAAAGAGGGAAAGTGAGAAAGTGAGAAAGCAAGCTACCAGATTCAGAACCATGGTGTGCCATGTGGGTGTGTCTAGCACTTTAACCACCACGCCACCTGCTGGTCCCCAGTGCACTGTTCTTAATTGCCAGACAGGGGCATGTGTACTCACCAGAGAAAGGCAGACAGAGGGAGAGGGATAAAGCACCCCTCAGTTGGTGTGATCTTATTACAGTCTTTTCTCCTCTCTCTCTTTATCTTATGGGATTTTGGGCATGCGTGCATATATGCTGAACATGTTTTTCAAGCTGTAGAGGCTGGGACTCGAATAGCATGGTTAAGAATATGGGATCCAGCTCCCAGCAATAGGGCTGGCCCCCAATGTTTTTTTTATTTTTTAATTTTTATTATTTTTATTTTTCAGACCTATTATCTATAATAAGACTTCAGTTATCATCTTAATTTAACAAAAATGGAGGATTTACCTTTTTGAAGTTCTGTATTTCCTCTTCTGATTTTATTTATTTAAATATATAAAATATTTACATAAACTACATTAGATTCTTTTTTTTTTCCTTGAAGAAGTTTTTGCTATAGGGTGCGTGTGCTCACCAGAAAGACAGAGACAAAGAGATAGAAAGCGAGAAATTACCCCCCAGGGGGGATGGCCACACCACAAACCGTTCTCCTCCATTGTGCTCTGGGGATCTTGGGCACACACGGACATGCACCTGGCGTGAGTTTAAGCCACCATGTCCAGGACTTGAACCATGATCGACCACATGGGAGTGCAGTGACACTGGTCCCCTAAATTAGAATCTTGGTCTCATTCTTGCCTTTTTACTCTTTTCTCTCTGCATTGGTAGGTAATCATTTTCTGGTTCATGCTTATATTTCTTTTTGCAAACATAGTAGAATACACCTGCTTTAGTATATAGTTTTATGAATTTTGACCACATCACTACCTTATCAGCAACTGGTTATATATAAATGGGAAGGATTTGAAGTCTGAAAGGCATATAAGAAAATTCTAGACAGAATGAAGAAATAAGGCAAAAGGTATAGAGTTGGTGATGTTGAAGAGAAAGATGATTAAGAACACATTGTTTTATTTATTTATTATGTTTTTGGAGAGATTTCTGCTATAGGGTGTGTGCCCTCACCTAAAAGACAGAAAATGAGAAATCACTCTCCGGGGGTATGACCATGCTACAATCAATCCCTTCTCCATTCCCCTCTCAGGATTCTGAGTACACATGCACATTCATCCAGTGTGAGTTTCAAGCCACTGGGCCCGGGACTTAAATGGCAGTTGGCCACATAATAGTCCAGTGCCTTAACCACTATACCACCGGCTGGCCCCAGAACAGTCTATTTTATAATTTTAACACTAACAGATTTTGAGCATTTATATGCCAGGCATATGTGTACTTCACGCTTAATGTGTATCTATTTTATATAGTTTTTCATTGCAACCCGTGAGATGTGAGTGTTATAGTTCCTCTTTATTTTACAGATGGGAAACCTCAAAGTATTAGATTTAGTACCTGGTTTCAAGCTAGGTTTGTCTAACTTTAGACCCCTACCTCTGTTTTGTTTTATTTTGTTTAGACTTTTTTTTTTTTTTTTTAAAGAGAGAGATTTTTGCTCTAGGCCATATGCACTCACCAGAGAGTCAGAAAGTGAGAAGTCACTCCCCTTGTCCCTCCACCCCAGGGGGGATGGCCATGTCACAACTCCTTCTCCTCCATCCTCCTCTTGGGATTTGGGCATGAACGAACATGCACCTGGCATGAGTTTCAAGACACCCGTTTGGAACTTGAACCATGGTTGACCATGTGGGAGTCTAGCAACATAAGCATTATGCTGTCTTGCTGGTTTCGGTATTTTGTTTAGTTTTTAATTTGCTGTAAGGGTACATATGCTTGCCTGAGCGAGAGAGAGAGAGATACACACACACACACTGCACACAAAGTCACAGAGCATCCTCCAGTGGGGAATAGCCGTACTATAATCTCTTCCATTTTTCAATTCTGTTTGCTCTTTGAGCACACACTCACACCCACACACATACACACACACACACACACACACAGGCCCATCATGTTTCTCAAGCCACCCAAGCCGGATTTGAACTGTGGTTTAGTATGTGGAATCTGTCTCCCTTAACCACTAGGCTATAGAACTGGTCCACAGGTCTTTTTAGCAATAGCACTGGATCTCTAAAATGTCCATAACAGCAATGGTATCTGGGCCTGATGCCATAAGAGCTAGTAATTGAGACCACTGTTTAGTGCCATGTAGAGCAACAGGAAAAGTAGGGTTGGAAAGGCAGCCAAGGCATCCTTTTTGGACTGGGAACTGGGAACTGGGAGTCACCAGCTGGGCTGGTATTTGTCCCTGTCACGTTAGCATCACACACGAGAGGAAAACAAAAGAAGATGAAGGAGGGGAATTTAAGAAAACACGATAAATTTGTGCTTTGATTTAAAAGAAAAATAGAGAGATATTCTAATACAAATTGGTGGTGCTAATTTTAGGTTCCAATAGGAAATATCCACTAGAACAGACTACCTGGCTTGCAAATTATGTGTTTTGTGTTTCAAAGCTTTTGCCTATATCATTCCTACTGTTGACAACTAAACTGTGTCTTAAGTATGGTGCCTGTGATGAAATAGACTATTTCTCTTTAGCATTATGCCACTACTATGTGTACATCCTGTCCATTTAAAAAGACGGGTTGTCAATCTTAATTTTAAAAATTAAATATAATCGATTATTATTAATAGCCTCATGGTTTTAATTTTTACTTTTGTTGGTTCAAACTTACAGCTTTTAGAGAATAGCACTAAAGCTATCAAAACATTAAATCTTCACTAGAAACATTTTAGATCAAAGCTATAGTTTCTTTTTTAAATTTAAAAATAAATTGTTTTTAAATAATTACTTAATTTCATTTATCATCAGTCTTATTATTTAATTTGCTACAGGGCACATGCACACCTCAGAGAGAGAGAGAAAGAGAGTGGAGTGAGAAAGCAAGTTGCTAGGTCCATGGTCAGCCATGTGGAAGTCCAGCACCTTAACTACCACATCACCTGCTGGGCCCTCAAAATTTATTTTTTATTTTATTATTGTTATTATTTTAAAGTTTTTGCTAACAAAAACAGGACATATGCACTGGCAGGAGATAAGAGACAGAGAGGGAAAGTGATAAGCACTCTTGAGGGTGAAGGACCACGCCATAATCCCTTCTCTATTTTCCTCTCAGGATTTTGAGTACATACTCATGTGCGCCCTAAGTGTTTTTCAAGTTGCCAGGTTTTGGATTTTTTTTTTAACGTAATTGTTTGTTTAATTTTACTTGTTTACTTATTTATTTTTAATTTGACCACCACAGAAGAGCGAGAGAGAAAGTGAGAAAGCCAGCCACCAGGTTCAGGACTTGACTTGCAGTCAACCATGTGGGAGTCCAATACCTTAACCACACACCATCTGCTGGCCCCAGGTTCTGGATTTTAATTGCATAGTTGTCCATGTGAAATTCAGCTGCATTAACCACTTTGCCATCTATTGGCCCTTTATTAATTTTTTAATTACCGTGTGTGCCCACCAGAGAGAGTGGGAGAAAGCACTCTCCAGTGGGGAGCAGTCACATTGCAATTTCTTCTCTGTTTCTCAGTCCTGTTGGCATTTTGGACACCCACGTATACACACTGTTATATTTTACAAGCTGTTGGGGATGGTTCAAACTGCTGTCAGCCATATAGGATTTGGCTGCCTTAACCACTAAACTGTAGATGTTTATTGTAGTAGCTATATATTTTAGGAATAGGAGAGAAAAGAGATAAAACCAGGACATTTTCTTTTTCATTGGCCATTTGTCTTTCTGTCATCTGTATATTTGCTGCTAGGAAGAATGATAATAACTAGGAGGAAGAGCTTAGGATTTATTCATTTATTTATTTATTTATTGCTGTGGGGTGCTGTGCTTGCCAGAGGGAGGCAGAGAGAGAAAGAGAGAGAGCGCGTGCTAGCGAGCACTTCCGGGGAGGGGGAGGGGGGAGTGACCACACCCAAGTCCCTTCTCCATTCTCTAGGCATTTTGGGCATGTATACGCACATACCCAACGTGTTTTTCAAGGCAGTGGGGTCAGGACCTCAGATTGTGTAGTTGGCCATGAGGGATCCAACAGCCTCAACCACTATGCCACCTGGCTGATGGCAAGGATTTATGTCTCTTCTTCATTTTCTTCTTGTGTCTGATCCTAAACCTGACAGGGACAGACACCAGCCCAGCTAATGACATCTAGGTCCAGTAAATGTCATAGTGTATTTTAGCATTCAGCAGAGAAAAAGGAACATCATTTAGATGGTTATCTTTACAGATACTATCATATATAACTTGGTTTATATTACATAACTTGGTTTATATTACATTTAGTTAAATACATGCTATAATTACTTAATAATTGCATGGTAAAATTGAAGACTTTATAACTGACCTGTTGTAACTATCTTTTATTTTATTTTATTTTTAGGTTTTTGCCATAGAATGTGTGAGAGAAAGGTGTGTGTGGGGGGGGAGTAGTGAGAAATCACCCCTAAGGGGAAATGGCCATGCCACATTCCCTTCTCCTCTTGTGATTTTGGACGTGCCCACACATGTGTTCAATGTGATTTTTTAAGCCGCCAGTTTTCCCTTGAACTCTGATTGGTGATGTGGGAGTCCAGCACCTTAACCACTACGCCACATGCTGGCCCCAACTGTCAGTTTATTTTAAAATATTGGTGAAACTGGAAGCCATGCTATCCAAACTCCCATATTTTAGATTGTACCTTTCATTTGAGGAACCTTAGTTAATGACATGCCACATTTAAACTTTCTTTTCTTCAGTGTCCTATTGTGAGTGTGTGTTTTCTGAAACATCCTTTTTTAGGCTTAATGGGACTATTTGAAAAACGTCGCTTCAGGAAATTCCTAGTGTATGTTGCCAACTTTGATGAAAAAGATTCTAGAACTTTTGAGGGCATTGATCCTAAGAAGACTTCAATGCGAGATGTGTACAAGAAATTTGATTTGGGCCAAGACGTGATAGATTTTACTGGTCATGCTCTTGCACTTTACCGAACTGATGAGTAAGTTTTTTATTTTTTAGATTTGTATTTTTCTTGGAACTGTTACTGAATTTCTCAGCTCTTCAAAATAGAAATTCTAACAAAACAAATACATAGCCATGTTATACTGTGAAAGAAGAGGTCCTAGTTGTAAACTAGTGTTAGAAATATGAAGATAGTAGATTGAAGTCACTCCAGAATCCCTTTTCTGATATTCATTCCTCTTCCCCAGCTACTTAGATCAACCATGTTGTGAAACCATTAATAGGATTAAACTTTACAGTGAGTCCTTGGCAAGATATGGTAAAAGCCCATACCTTTATCCACTCTATGGCCTTGGAGAATTGCCACAAGGATTTGCAAGGTAAGATTCTGTCTTAGTCCATTATTACATTGCAAACAGGAATACCTGAACGTGAGTGATTTATAAAGGGACAGGTTTATTCAGCTCGTGGTTTGGAAGTCTGAGGTCCAGGGGCCAAGCTCTGATGAAGCCACAACATAGCAGAGAGTAGACTCTTGAGCAGAGCAGCTTTCATACGCTTTTGTTTGCTCTGGTCTTCTTTCTCCTTTTACATACCCTCAGAACTAAATCTTTGGGATCCTGCCCCAAGAACTTTATCACAAAGGCCCCACCCTAGGACACTATAAAGGCATTACATTTTTACTTCATGCCTTTGTAATACAGCCAGATTCCAATGTATGAATATTTTGGAGACAACCAGTGTACAGCAGAGTCTGTGTTAAGTGTGTTAACTAAAACATCCCTGACCCAAAAACCTCATCTTCATCTTCAACCTAGACATATGAGATATGGTTTGAATAATGAGATAAAATATGTCTATGAGTTATGAGATGCTTTTTATTTTTATTGTAGTAAAATTTGCATACAATGAAATATATAGATCTTCAGTAAAAAAGAAAAATTTTCCAGGTCAGGAGTTGGCATTTTCTGGGCCTACAGGTGGCATGGTGGTTAAGGCACTGGACTCTCATGTGGCCGACTGCAGTTCAAGTCCCAGCAGCTTGAAAATCACACTACGTTGTGTATGCACATGCCCCAAATCCCAAGGCGAGAATGGAGAGGGAATTACAGTGAGGACATCACCCTGGGGGGAGAGTAATTTCTCACTTTCCCTCTGTCTGTCTACTGCAAGCACATGTGCCCTAGGACAAAAACCTAAAGTAAAAAATAAACTGAATTCCAAGCTGCCGAGGCTGGGACTCCAGGGTTGGTCATGTGGAATCCAGCTTAAGTTAATATCCTTGTAAAAGGAAACTGCCCATAACTTTTTAAGATGTAAGGAAGGAGACTAGCAATAGGAGCAATTACATATTATTGAAATATAAAACTTTTTCTAGGCTAAGTGCTATTTATGGAGGTACCTACATGCTCAATAAACCAATTGAAGAAATCATTGTGCAGAATGGAAAAGTTATTGGTGTAAAATCTGAAGGAGAGGTAAGTACCTTTTATAGTTTAAAATATACTATGTTGGACAAGGATGGAGGTTAAGGTGGCTGGATCCTACATAGCCGGCTGTGCGATTCAAGTCCTGGACTTGGCATCTTGAATACACTCCAGGCACAGAATCTTAAGAGGAGAATGGAGAAAGGATTATGGAGTGGCCATTCCCCATGGGGTATGATTTCTTACTCTCTATTTCTGTTCATCTCTCTCGAGTGAGCACACATGCCCTATAGTGCACACACACATACACAAAATACTGTGCTTTGGTGAAGAAAGTTGTATTATCTAATGAGTATTTATTTTGGTATGGATACTGATGTTAGATTTCAGACTATATATGATTTCTTTATGGTAAATTGGTTTTCATCATGTCTATCAACTCAGTCATAGTTACTGTGCTTACTTTTAAAAAACAGATCTTAAGGGGCTGGCAGGTGGCATGGCATGGTGGTAAAAGGTACTGGACTCCCCACAGGGCCGACCGCAGTTTGAGTCCTGGACCTGGTGGCTTGCTTTCTCCTTTCTCTCTCTCTCTTTCTGGTCAAATTAAAGTAAATAAATAAAGTTAAACAAAAAGATTCTTAAAAACAAACAAAAAAACCCAGATTTTAATACTTTGTGTTGTGTCAGTGGTTGCTTTTCTTAAGACAAAGTCTGCATTATGGATTATCTCCAAAAGGTAAGTATTCCTGGTTCCTATAGTGTTGGTTGCTGCCTATCTCCCAAATGATTCATTAAATTTAGCTTCATTTGCATCACTTATAATCTATTGGTTGAAATTGGGTTTGGCTAATATTGGGTATTTTATTATTTAATATGTGGGGCTGACTAATCCTCACAGAGTGAGTTTTGAGCAGCGTTTCTCAAATTTGAATTACATGCAAATCTTTTTTTTAAATGGTTATTTATTTAATTTTATTTATTCATTCATTTATCTTAATTTAACCAGAGAAAGACAGACACAGTGAGAGGAGGAAAGTGAGAAAGCAAGCCACCAGGTTTGGGACTCAAACCATGATCAGCCGTTTTGGAGTGTCCAGCACCTTAACTATTATACTACTTGTTGGCCCCAAATCATCGTTAACCTAGATGCAATATATGCTCTCATTTAGCATATCTGAGGAGGTGCTGCATATACTTCAAAGTTCTCAGGTGATACTGGTTCTACTGGTTGGGAAGCACGTGTTAAATGAAAATGATCCATCTTTTCTGTTATCTCTAGACTGCTTCATTCTGCCATTTTATTAGTTTATTTTTCACAATAGTTCCTGCAACAGAGGATGCACTGCTAGACACTGCTATGTCTACACCTGAATTTTTAAAAAATCTAAACTTTATTTTTTCTAATATTGAGCTTTATGGGAATGTAGAAACTTCCTGGAGGAAATATGCTTTTAGTTGTTTAGATCTTACTGGAAATAAAAATTTGAGATGAAATTTTGGTAACCAGTGTGAGGTAATGAATAAGCAAGAGAAAATGTAGATGTGGCTTAGTGTATAAGGAGCCTAACAGTAAAGCATGAAGCAATTTTTATCTAATTTCTTTCTTACGGTGATCCATTTATTATTCAGATCCCAAGCACTTCTCTCCTAGTCCTCCCTTTTAGTATTTAATATCATTTTATGAATAGATTATAAAGGTATAAATAGACAGCAGAAAACTTTATTTAAAAATTATAAATAAGAATGTAATCATAGAAACCCCTTTATCTTTATTTTTTTTTAGATCTTTGCCTTAGAGCATGTGAGTGTACCAGAGAGATAGAAAGACATTGAGAGGGAAAGTGAGAAATCATCCCTCAAGGGGGGATGCCCATGCCACAGTCCCCTCTCCTTCATTATCTTCCTGGGGTTTTGGGCACGCATGCACATGCACCTGGTAAGTTTTAAGCCATGAATATGGGTCTTGAACCGAAGCCACGAATATGGGACTCGAATAGCTGTCAGCCATGTCGAAATCCAGTACCTTAACCACTGTGCCACCTGGTAGCTCCAAAAAACCACTTTATAGCAAGTAAGATTTGAAAGATGAAAGACTCCTAAAAGATAGAGTACTGACACATACCCTTTTTGCAAAATAGGATGGTTTTCATTGTAAAAACAAGTCTTCCTTGTTGAATGACTAGTTCTGGGTGGATACTATAGTTTGTAGCATTATATTGTTCATGCTTGCTTGAATTTGAGGTAATTTATCTAGGACATTACTATTTGAAAGCTCATAATCTGTTTCCTTTATTTGATCAATTTCATCATTATCATTAGAATCTAGTATCACTAGAGTCACTGTCAATTTGCATTCATCTTATAATTCATCTTATAATTGTGAAACATATTTCTCTGCTATTTTTTTTAAAAAGAATTATTTAATTAATTTATTATTATGTTTTAGTTTGCTGTAGGGAACATGTGCTCACTAGAGAGAGAAAGAGAGGCAAAGTGAGAAAGCAAGCTGTCAGGTCTGGGACTTGAACCATGGTCAGCTATATGGGAGGCCAGTACCTCAATCACCATGCCACCTGCTAGTCCCACTAATTTTCTTCTCTTTGCACATTATTGGCAGATAATGAAAATTCTAAATTTCTAATTGTATTTACTGAAAGCTATAGGTAGACTAGGAATAGTCTTTTGGGGTTTTTGATCCTCTTTAATATGTTCTTATAAGAAGTTGGAATACTTTTTTTTAAAAGAATTATTTTATTTATTCATTCATTCATTTTCATTTGACCAGAGAAAGACAGACACAGAGAGAAGGAAAGTAAGAAAGCAAACCACCATGTCCAAGACTCAAATCGTGGTTGACCATGTGGGAGTGTCCAGCGCCTTAACTACCACTCCACCTGCTGACCCAGAAGTTTGAATACTTTGTGGATAATACAATTAGAAAATTGAAAGATGACATTTTACTTAAGATGACATATCATTCCTTTTAGTTGATTCTATTATTCTGCTGTTACTATTTCATTTGTAGGATGATGAAACAGCCAAATGTTTTTAAGTTGGGACAGATATCATCATTAAGATCCCATCCTGTATATTAGGCTTATGAAAGGATCCAGTGAACTTAGGAAGTAAATTGTTTATTTGAAGACCTCTAAGAATAAAATAAGTTATTATGTTGTAGTCTTGGTGATGCAGTTAGTAGTGTACTAAACTACAGTGCTGGGAGCCACATAGCCAAGTGATATTTGGATCCCTGTTCCTTGTTGACCTAAAACATGTAGGAGATGCCTATTCTCAAGATCCTGGAGAGTTAGGGAAAGCAGATCACCATCCTCTGTCAGGAGTGCTTTGCTCTCTCTCTCACCTGCTCTCATGCCATGTGCATGTGCTTTTTATAATAATTTTAAAAATTAAATGCATTTAAAAAAATTATGATATATTACCTCTTAAAAGTAGTTGTGGGGCCGCTAGTGGTGTGGTGATTTAGAGCACTGGACTCCCACATGGTCGACTGCAGTTCGAGTCCTCTCTGTCTTTCTCCTCTGCCCCTCTATGGTTAAAATTAAAAATAAATAAATAAATAAATAATAAAATTAAAAAAAAAAATCTTCAAAGAGGAAATGTATTTAGTTGTTTTAATATGATTTTTGGATAGTTTTTTCATTGCACTAAAAATTTTGGGGGTGCCAGCAGGTGGCATGGTGGTTAAGGCACTGGATTCCCACATAGCTGACTGGTTTGAGTTGCAGACCTGGAGCTTGGTTTCTCACTTTCTCTCTCTCTCTCTCTGGTCAGATTAAAAAATAAATAATAATAATAAAATTAAATAAATAATTTTCCCCCCACAGAAGATACATTTTTATGTACTTGTTGGAGAGATATGGGGTTAGGGATGCAGGTAGAGAAAGCACCCACCATGGGGCATGGCCATGTTGCAATCCCTTCTCCACTCCTCCGTCCTTTTAGAATTTGGGGCATGCATGCACAAGCATCTGGTGCTTTTCAAGTGCTTTTCAAGCTGCCTGGTCTGGGACTCTTAACTGTACAGTAGGCCATGTGACATCTAGCCATGCTAACCTATAGAGCACAGATTGGCCCTTATTGCATTAAAAAAAAATGTTTTTTTAAAAGTATTTCCATTCTTCATGTGCTCATTGGAGAGACAGTGAGAGGGAAAGTGAGAAATTACCCCCTAGTGTGGATGGCCACACTGTAATCCCTTCTCTTAGAATTTTGGGCATGCATGCACACACACCTGGTATGATTTTCAAGACACCAGGTCTAGGACTTGAACCACTGTTGGCCATGTGGGAGCCCAGTACCTTAAATACTATGCCATCCGCTGGTCCCATTATTGCATATTTTTATTTCATTTTGTTTTTGCTTTACACAGTTGCCTCCTAGGAAACTTTAGGGCTTTGATATGAAAGAGGAGGCTATAGTATAATTATCTTACAGTTAAAGTTTTACTTAGTATAGCCTTAAGAGGATAAGGATTTTGGTTTATTTATAATACTAGTACCATTTATAGAGCATTTATTTTTTGCCAGGATATGCCTATATATAACAACAGCCCTTATATGCACTATTTCATTTAGTCCTAGCAACAGTCTTTTGAAGCTAGGTAGAACTGGGATTTATACCCTGATCTTCCCAGTTCTGAAACTTCTGAATACTGTGTAACACAGTTTTTCTAATGTTTGAGGGGAGATTGCATTAGTATATACTTTAAAAGTATTGCAGGGATCAGCAGGTGGCATGATGGTTGTCACTGGAATCCTGCATGGCTGACTACAGTTGGAGTCTCAGATCCAGTGGCCTGACATATGCCAGGTACCTGTGCGTGCATGCCCAGAATCCCAAGAGGAGAATGGAGAAGGAATTATGGCATGGCCATCCCCCCTGGGGGTGATTTCTCACTTTCTGTCTCTCTGGCTCTCCAGGAAGCACATGTGCGCTTATAGCAAAAATCTCTTAAAAAAAAAAAAAAAAAAGGCATTGTAGACACTGAATATCCTGCCATTTTTTTTGCCCGTTTTTTTATTGTGATAGAATACCCACATAATTTACCATTTGAAATGTACAGTCTTAGCCATTTTAAATGTACAGTTCTGCTGTATTAAATATATTCATGATGTGTAGCTGTCACCACCATGCAGCTCCATAACTTTTTTCCCCTAGAAGTTTTTTCTTAGGGTACCTGTGCTCACCAGGTACAGACAGAGACAATGAGGGGGAAAATGAGAAATCACCCCTCAAGGTGGGGATGGCCACACCACAATCCCTTCTCCCAGAATCTTGGGGGCATGGGTGTGCACACCCAGCTTGATTTTCTTTTCTTTTTTTTTTTTTTTTAGAGGTTTTCGCTATAGGGCGCGTGCACTCGCCAGACAGACAGAGAGAGACATAGAGACAGAAAGCGAGAAATCACCCCCCCCCCAGGGGATGGTCACGCCACAATCCCTTCTCTTCCATTCTCCTCTCGGGATCTTGGGCACGCACGCACGCACATGCGCCCAGCGTGAGTTTTAAGCCACCGGGACACGAACCAGTGTTGACCATGTGCATTTCCAGCAACATAGCCATTACGCTAACTGCTGGTTTCCCCCAGTTTGATTTTCAAGCTACAGGTTCTGGGACTTGATTAGCAGTTGGCCATGTGGAAGTCCAGCTACCGAACCGCTACGCCATCTGCTGTCTCTGTTGGCTCTGCTCTATAACTTTAAATTCTGCCATAGGCTGCACTCATAGGAGACAGAGGGAGGGAGGGGGGGGGAAGGAAATTATCCCCCAGGAGGATGGCCATGCTGCAGTCTCTTCTTCATTCTCCTTTCAGGATTTTGGCCATGCATGCTGGGTACCAGTGTGTCTTTCAAACTTCCGGGTCTGGGATTTGAACTGTGCCATGCAGCTGGCTGTGTGGGATCCAGCCACCTTAACTACTGCATTACCCGCTGGTCTGCTCCATAATTTTGTCTTATAAAACTGAAACTCTGAACCTTTTAAAAAAGTAACTTTCCATTCCCCTTTTCCAGCTCCTGGCAATTATTATTCTACTTTCCATGATTTTTAGTATTTAAGTATCTCATATGCGTGGAATCGTGTGATATTTGTCTTTGTGTAAATGGCTTATTTCACTCAGGATGTTGTTGAGGTTCACCCTTCCTTTTTATGGTGGGATAATCCATTGTATGGATACACCTATATTTTGCTTATTCACCCACTGATGGACATTTGGGTTGTTTCTGCCTTGGTTATTTTGAATTATTGTACTTTGGATGTGAAATTTTGGATTTTTGGATGTGGGTGTAAATGTATCTTTTAGAGACCTTGCATTTTATTTTGTTTGGATATATATTTAACAACGGAATTGCTGGATCTAATGGTTATTCTGTTTCTGTTTGAGAAACTACCATACTGTTTCCCAAAGTCACTACCATTTTTCATTCCTATTACACTGCATAAGAGGTTCCACTTTTCCACATCATTGTTATTTTCTGTTTGGTTTTATAATAACTATGCTAATGATGTGTGGTATCTCATTGTAGCTCTCATAATGATTAGTGATGTTAAACATCTTTTCATGTGCTTATTCACCATCTGTATATATTCTTTGGAGAAATATGTATTCAAGTCCTTTTCCCATTTTTGAATCAGTTTATCTTTTTTCCCGTTTTAGGAGTTTTTCATATATTCTGGAAGTTAATAATTTGTCAGATATATGATTTGCTTATTTTATTTTTATTCTGTTCATAGTGTCTTTCATTTTAAGTTTTCTTCATGAGAGATAACACAAAAGAAAGGTACCCCAAAGCAAGGTCTCATCACACCAGTCCTATTCCCCCGACTCTCCAGCTAGTCCAGATCAAGGCTGCTGCACACATGCTGTATTTTGGGTCAATGCAGGATCCAAACGTGTAGTCTCAGCCATGTGATTTTCAGTACTGAAAATCAGTACATGACCACCTCCACCTGTGCCAGCTGGGCCAAATAGTGTTTTTTGATGCACAAAGTATTTGAATATTCATGAAGTCCAATTTGTCTTCTTTTGTTGCTTCTCTTTGGTATTAAATCTAAGAAATTACCATCAAATCCATGTCATGAATCTTTTGCCTTGTGTTTTCATTTTTAAGAGTTTTATAGTTTTAGTTATTACATTTAGGTCATTGATCATTTTGAGAGTTAATTTTTATATATGGTGTTAGGTAAGGATTCAGGTTCATTCTTTCGCATGTGGATAAAATTTTCCCAGCACCATTTATTGGTCTTGGCACCTTTGTCAAGAATTGTCATGTGCCCTAATGGCACAAACCTTAAAAAAAAATCATTTGACTGTAGACACACGGTGTGTACTTCTGCAGTTTTCTATTGCATTGGTCTGTATATCTGTCTTTATGTCAGTATCACTCTAGTGCTGTTTGGATTATTGTAGCTTTTGCCAAGTCCTCTACCTTTGTGTGTGTGTGCACGTGTGTGCCATAAGGTGCATGCTCATGTTAGAGAGAGGAAAGGTGAGAAATCATACCCAGTGGAGATGGCCACACCGTATCTCTTCTCCATTCTCTATCTGCTTGCGATTTTGGGCTCACATACACATGCATCTGGTGTTTTCAATCCAGAGAGTCCGGGATTCGAACTGCAGTGTCAGCTGTGAGATCTAACACCTTAACTACTCTAACCTCCACACCTATATTTTTTTCTTTAAGAGAGATTTTTAGTATAGGCTGTGTGTGCTCACCAGAGAGACAGAAAGTGAGAAATTTCCCAGGGACATGGCTATGTCACAGTCCCTTTTCTTCCATTCTCTTCTCAGGATTTTGGGCACATGCACACACATGCCTGGTGTGAATTTTAGGCCACCATGTAAGGAACTTGAACTGTGGTTGACTACGTAAGATTCCAGTGATGTAACCATGCCATTTCTCGGTTCTCCCATTTGTTCTTTTTAAAGATTGTTTTGGCTGTTCCCAAATACAATTCTTTGAGAGCCAGTATTAATTTTAGGATGGGTTTTTAACATCCTAAGTCTTATAGTCCATAATCATGGGATGCGTTTCCATTTATATCCTCTTCATAAAGTTGTTTACAATGTTATGTTACAGATTGCTCGCTGTAAACAGCTCATTTGTGACCCCAGCTATGTCAAGGATCGGGTAGAAAAAGTGGGCCAGGTAATCCGTGTCATCTGCATCCTCAACCACCCCATCAAGAATACCAATGATGCCAACTCCTGCCAGATTATCATTCCTCAGAACCAAGTCAGTCGAAAATCAGGTGAGTTTTGAAACCCAAAAGATGTTTATAGAATTTTGTTAGATGTAATTTGCTTTGTGTTTTATTTCAAACTCTTAACTTTATTTTGTGCTAGAGAGAGCATACACTCACCAGAGACAGAGGATGGAGGACAGTCACACACAAATCTCTTTTCGATCTCTCCATGTACGATTTTGGGCATGCATGCATGCATACACACACCTACTATTTCTAAAACTGCCATGTCTGGGACTTGAACTACGCCATTGGGTATGTGATTTCGCTGCCTAAACTGCCAGGCCACAGATCTCTCTCAGAAATTCCTAACTATATGCAGTGTTACTGAGAAAATAATTTACATATGGGAAACAAAACTTTTTGCTTTTCCCTCCATTGATCCTGCCAGCATTGTGTTGAAGTAGACAAATGAGACCAAGAGCCCTGCCTTGGACTTGTTAATTATGAGCCTCATTTCCTTCTCTGGGAATGGATGGATTGGACTTGGAATCCTCTTAGTTCTAACAGTTATTGCCTGTTGTAGTTAATGCTTATGAGTTGAAGGGATTCCATAGTAGTTTTGAGCTGTTATGGCTGCTGCTGTGCCATTATTTGTAAACTCTATTTGAGTCTAGCAGTGTTCTAGAACACAATTTTCATTTTTGTGATTGAGATCAGGACTTGGCTTTAAAATGACAACTTCTAATTAGTTTACTTGCTTAACTGTTTTCCACCATTAGATATTACTGTCTGGGCTTGCCATGTAGCACAGTGGTTAAGCTATGTAGAGAGCCAGATCCCACACAGCCTAATGTAGCTTAAATTCTGGCCCAGGCAGCTTGTAAAACATGCCATACACGTGCATGTGTGCCCAGGATCCTAACAGTGATGGAAAAATGGAGTAAAAAGGATTCTGCATGACCAGGCCCCATCAAGGCTTGCTTTATAATGTCCCTTGTGTGTGTACCCTCTGATACTTAAAAAAAAAAAAAGTCCTGTCTTGATTACTGTAGCTTTTTAATGAGTCCTCCACCTTTGCTGTTCTATTTATTTATTGCCATAGGGGATGTACACTTGTAGGAAAAACAGAGAGAAGGAAAATGAGAAATCCCTTCTCTATTCTCCTAGGATTTTGGTCATGCACGCACACTTTTTTGTTTTTTGGAAAGGTTTTTGCTATAGGGCACGTGCGCTTGCCAGACAGAGACAGAGGGATAGAAAGGAAGAAATCACCCCAAGGAGGATTGTCATGCCTTAGTCCCTTCTCCATTCTCCTGTTGGGTATTTTTTTTTTGGAGAGTTTTTTCATTATAGGACGCGTGCACTCGCCAGACAGAGAGACATAGAGACAGAAAGCGAGAAATCGCCCCCCAGGGAGGATGGCCACACTGCAATCCTTGCTCCTCCATTCTCCTCTTGGGATCTTGGGCACGCATGCACACACACACACACACGCGCGCCTGGCATGAGTTTAAGCCACCCGGTCTGGGATTTGAACAGTGGTAGACTACATGGGAGTTCAGCGACATAGCCATTACACTAACTGCTGGTCCCACACGTACACGTTTATGAAGTCACTGGGCCTAGGATTTGAGTCATGGAGTATGAATGTTATTGAGAAGGTACAGCTGAAAGATAACTATTAGAAGTGCCCTAAGTTTTTTGCTGTAAGGGTACATGTGCTCGCTGGAGAGAACTGGAGATGGAGGGAAAGTGAGAAATCATCTCCCAAGGAGGATTGTCATGCCTCAGTCCCTTCTCCATTCTCCTGTTGGGTATTTTTTTTTTTTTTTTTTGGAGAGGTTTTCGCTATAGGGTGTGTGTGCTTGTCAGGGAGGCAGAGAGACACACAGAGACAGAAAGCGAGAAATCACCTCCCAGGGGGGATGGTCACACCACAATCCCTTCTCCATTCTCCTCTCGGGATCTTGGGCACGCACACACACGCGCCCGGCGTGAGTTTTAACCCACTGGGTCCGGGATACGAACCGTGGTCAACTACGTGGGAGTTCAGCAACATAGCCATTACGCTAACTGCTGGTTCCCATCTCCTGTTGGTTATTTTTAAAAATTTTATTTATTCATTCATTTATTAATTTAACCAGAAGAGAGACACGGAGACAAAGAGGGAAAGTGAGAAAGCAAGTCACCAGGTCCAGGACTCAAAACATGGTTGGCCATGTGGGAGTGTCCAGCGCCTTTAACCACCATGCCACCTACTGGTCCCCTCCTGTTGGGGTTTTCGGTATACATGTACAAGCACCCAGCAAGTTTTAGGCCACTGGGTCCAGGACTTGAACCATAAAAAGTATCTGGGGTCAGTCCAGCATGTCACCTGCTGAATTCCTCTCTCTTCTATTAGCCAGTGACCTAATTCTTTTTTCTATCTAAATTCAACTTCACGGCTTTCTGGTTCATACCCAGAAAGCTTTCTATATACATTAGGCATAAGTGTGCCCATCATCTGGGTCTGGATGAAGGATGGGATCATTGCTTTTGAGACCCTGTTTGGAGTACTTTTTTCCTTGTCTTTCATGTGCTCATGGAAAAAATAGCTCTTAGTTGTATTATTATTATTTTTTGGTCGTACAAGAAATCAAATCACATGAAAGTTAATTCCCTTTGTTATGGTTATAATCTTTCAAGTGTTCCCAAGGATATACCCAAGTCTGCAAAAGTGTATAAGGTATGAAGGGAACCCAATAATTTTCTGCGTTGGAAATTATACAGTTAGTTAGAAGAACAGAATACAGACAAGTCTCATCTTGTAAATTTTGTCAGTTTATTATGGTAATGCAAAATAGCTTAGCTTATGCTGATCTGTAATTTTACATTATTTTAGTAAATGAGGAAGTCAGTACTTAATAAATCCTATTAACTATTCAGAAACCTTTTCAAATGCATGGTTCAAAAGTGGAAGTAAATCCCAGAGTACTTCAGATAGTTTGCCAGATTTCTCAGTGTCACTGGAAATGCTCTAAGTTCACCAATTCACTGTCACATAATTCTGTAATCTCTAATAGGTAAAGTATTTGCATACTTCACATATGACCATTTGTCTTCATACTGAACTTAACACTTAGAAGAGCCTGTTTATTCCACGTAATTTAAATTCACAATAAGAAAATATGGATGGGGACCCAAGTGCACCCATGTCCTACGTTGACAAATCTCATGTACTAAGCTGATGTTTTTTGTTTCTAGATATCTACGTTTGCATGATCTCCTTTGCACACAATGTGGCAGCACAAGGGAAATACATTGCCATAGTCAGTACAACTGTGGAAACCAAGGAACCTGAGAAGGAAATTAGACCAGCTTTGGAGCTCTTGGAACCAATTGAACAGAAGTGAGTACTGTGTTTCCTTTTTTTTTTTTAATTATTTTTTTAAAGAGATTTTTGCTATAGGGTACATGTGCTTACTGGAGAGACAGACGAAGCGAGAAATAGGGGAGGGATGGTCATGCTGCATTCCTCTCTCCTCAGGGATTTTGAGCACATGTGCATGCACCTGGTTAGAGTTTCAAGGTGCCGGGCCCAGGACTCGAACTGGCACGTGGGAGCCCAGCAGTGTGACCATTAAGCCATCTTCTGGTCCCAAGTATTGTGTTTGTTTTTAACATGTGGAATCTAACTTGAGGTCTGTGGTGTTAGTTCTGTGGTGTTAGCTCTGTGGGAGTATGAGTTGTGAGATCAAAGATTTTCATCTTTACCAGTCTCTTCTGTGGGTCTTATGCCAGCTAACTTCTTTTTTATTTTCCTACAGATTTGTTAGCATCAGTGATCTCCTTGTACCGAAAGATTTGGGGACAGAGAGCCAGGTGAGTAGAGATCCAGAAAGGAAATTTTCAGTTTTTATTGTTAGACATTGCTGAATAGTCCTAAGTGTCTGTAATTTTTATTTTCAGATCTTTATTTCTCGCACATATGATGCTACAACTCATTTTGAGACAACCTGTGATGACATTAAAGACATCTATAAGAGAATGACAGGATCAGAGTTTGACTTTGAGGAAATGAAGCGCAAGAAAAATGACATCTACGGGGAAGACTAACAGCAGTTTTTATGTAACTACAACAAATTTAAAAATTGGCAAACAATGCATACTGTATGAAATCAACATTGTATGGCCTACTTTTATATAATCAAAATGGAGAGTGAAGAGCGCTTTAACAGTAAATATTCCTCACCTTCATCTTTCTAATATCATGTATTAACTTTTCATGGAGTGGCTACTCAGAATTGGCTGGTTACCACATTCTGTTCAATTTAACCAAACTGGCTTTTTTTCCCTAGTGAATGATCAGTTTTAAACAGAACATTGTGATACTGATACAAAGAAATTGATACAGTATTTGTATCTTTTAATCAGTGTAGCTTTTGCAATTATTTGCTTCTGCTGCTCAAGAGCTGGGTCCCTAGGAATTGTGTGCCATTTGGATAGTGAAATACTAAATTGATTATCATTTGGGACAGCATCCCTAAGTTTTTCTTGTAATTTCATATTTTTTGTTATGTCAAGTATTACGGCAGGGCCCAAATAACATAGCCACATGTTTGGTTTATGTGGGCATAAAATTGTAACCAAGCTCTAGGCTTAGGGATTCATTTGGAGAAGCCAGTAGTGTTTTAAACTAATAAAACGGATAAGACACAGGGGAAAGGAACCAATGTCAGAAAGCAGGTAAAAGGTAGAAGCATCTTTTATATCCTAGGCATGGTTTCTTCAATGGACCAAGCTGCAAAGCAGTATTGATTTGACAGAGCCTCTCCTCAATGATGTCTGTCTCAGAATGGCTCCAAATGATTTCTGTACTGCAAAATAAAGCCAAACTCTGGAAACCAGTGCTTTGTGTTGTGTTGGTCTATTTGTGTCCTGACTGCTATGGCCATCACTCAGCTTTTGTGGAATTCCTTCAGTAGAGATGATCTCTCTAAGGAGGCACATGCATCCTTAGTGAGTATATCTGGAATTTTACACTTTACATGATTTGAGTACTAGACTCTCTTTAAAAGAATAGCAAAGTGGGACCAGCAGTTAGCATAATGGCTATATCACTGGACTCCCATGTAGTTGGCTGCGGTACCGGACCTGGTGGCTTGAGCCGAGTGCATGAGCGTGTGTGCCCAAGATCGCGAGAGGAAAAAAGATTGTGGCGTGGCCATCATCCCTGGGGGGTGATTTCTTGCTTTCTGTCTCTCTGTCTCTTTAGCAAAAACACCTCCAAAAACAAACAACAACAAAGGCAAGTGTTGTGGGCTTATTTTGAAAATTATTTAACTTTATGTTACTATTATTAATTTGACCAGAGAGGAGAAAGGGAAAGTAACAAAGCAAGCCACCAGGTCCAGGCCTCGAACCAGTTGGCCATGTGGGAGTCCAGCACCTTAACCACCAGGCCACCTGCCAGCCCCACTAGACTATTTGATAATATTAGTTGTGGTTTAAAACATTCTCTCCTACACAGATATAATACTGCCTTTAAAAATACCAGAACGGGGGAACCAGCAGTTAGCGTAATGGCTATGTCGCTGGACTCCCACGTAGTCGATCGCGGTTCGTGTCCTGGACCCGGTGGCTTAAAACTCACGCCGGGCGCGTGTGCGTGCGTGCGTGCCCAAGATCCCGAGAGGAGAATGGAGGAGAAGGGATCGCAGCGTGACCATCCCTCCTGGGGGGGGTGATTTCTCGCTTTCTGTCTCTATGTCTCTCTGTCTGTCTGGCGAGCACACGCACCCTATAATGAAAATCTCTAAAAAAATATATATATATACCAGAACAGGGCCGGCAGGTGGCATGGTGGTTAAGGGTGCTGGACTCCCACATAGCTGACCACAGTACAGGTCCTGGACATGGCAGCTGGCTTTCTCACTTTCCCACAGTCATCATTCAACATGGTATTGAACACCTTCATACCCCGGAGAGAAGAACATGAAGGTGGCAAAAGTACAGACTTGGGAGAGTTCAAGCTTAGGGGAGACAGGTCATTCTTTGGTTTACTAAAGTCATACACTGTGGGCAGGTGTTGGGAAGTCTTCAGGAGAGGAAGATACTTCTAAAGATAACCTGAAAACACAGTAGTATAAAAGGCAACAGCAGAGGTACTCAATATAGTTCAGAGTAATGTCCTTAGAGAAAAGAAAAATAAATTAAATATGATTGTTTCTATGTGAAAAAGTAACTCTCAACAGTTAAAACTCTTCAATGGGCTGGCCCTACAATCTAGTAGCTATGGGAACTGAAACCCATATGGCTGACCATGGTCTAAATCCAGCCTTGACAGCTTAAAATATGGCCACCCAAGTCACAAAAGGGTGGAGAAATAAGAGATTGTGGCATGACCACATCTCTTTGGGGATAGCTTACTTCCTTTTTCACTGTGGAGAATACACATGCCCTCTGATGATTAAAAAAAAACCAAAAAACAATTTTGGTTAGGTATAATGTACAAAGCAGTAAAATCAGGTTTTTTTTGTTTGTTTTTTTTTCACCTCACAAATGATAATGTGTGCAGGCACTTAAGAAGCTTTCCTATCCTAGGTGCCTGCGCCCAAACTATTTTCAGGCTAACTGATCTCAACCTACACTGCCAGGCTTCTAGCTTTGCATGGCATTTATTTTGCTACTATTGCACAGTGGGCCCTGAAGAACTTTGAAAATAGTTTCTAAACAGATCTAATACAGCTTTATACAAAGGTCATGAGAAATGTCCGCTTCCTGTTGCTTGCTGCTCAGTGTAATTAACTCTGGGAAGATGGTGAGAATGCCAGAAGCACCTTAACAGGCTAGTCTCCAAAAGGTAGTTCTTCAGAAGCTAGTTACTCCTGCTAAAACATTACATACAAGTTCAGTTTTTGCTATAAAATAATTACAAAACTAATTAGTGATTTTTAGTTGTATTTATTTTAAAAAATGAAACAAATTTCTTACAAAAACCTTTGTTCCAGATAACTGTTTCTAGCTGGTTTTGAGGTTTTCAAGACTATTGTAGAAATTATTCTAATATCATAAATAAATGATTATTTCATTCTCAGAGGGCTGACATTGTAGTGCAATATTCATTAAAAACTGAGTTACTGAAAAATGACAGTTTATAAATTTCTACCATTTAGAAAAAAGGTTTTAACTTTATGTAGTGTTGCTTGTACAACAGCAAATAAAACTGTTTTTCAAGGATGGTAAAACCTTTAAAACAGACCATTACATTCCCTTCTGACATAACATGCAAAAACAAAGCTATCTGTTGGAATAGACTTATTTTTGCTGCAAGTAAACAGGTTCTCAAATCCTTATTTTTAATAGTAAGTACAATTAGTATCTTTGAAGGCGTGTTTAACATGAAAATAATTTAAAACACTAACACTGCAACCCAAATAGAATGGAGAACTGTGCTGCTATGAAGTAAGACATTTTAGCAAAATACAAAAAACAAAAGGAAAACTTTCTAAGTTATAAAGTATTGAGTTTTTAAAGAAGAAGCTGTTCATTTTCAAACATCAGGGAGAGTACCAATTTGTTGTTGGCGTTTCATGTCTAGGCAAGCTGCAGCCGAGTCACCTGGATAAACACATCCAAAAAAATGATAATTCAATCTCTAAATCAAAGTGACCAAGAAATTTTATAAATGAGATGCTACCTCTAATGGGCACAATGTCTATGCATCATAAGGTTACATTATCTTCTTTGCAGGCAATCCAAGCTAACTTCAAGTGAAAATGCACAGCATTTAGATAAAAATCTTAATTTGTTATCAGCAATCTTATCTGAAAATATGTAACTGTCTCCCTAATGGACATTAAACGCTTATCCTGGCTGTCAACAAGACAAATCACATGGGGAGTTAACATAAAAAATGTTCTTACCAATAGCTACTCCTGAATGGAGCTGCTATTTTTTGTATATTCTCAATAAAGTTATTTACATCTGTAACGAGGATTCCACTATTTTCAAAGACTTCTCTGGCGACAGTAGGCTTATCTATTAAAAAGAATTTATCGAAAATATCATTAATGTACATTTAAAAACAGTAACACTTTCATTTAAAAAGAGAAATCTTTTTTAAGAAAAGATTTATTTATTTAATTTTATTTATTCATTCACTTATTTTGACCAGAGAGACAGAGAGAGAGAGAATGAGAATGCAGGCCAGGAGGTCTGGGACTTGAACCATGGTCGTCCATGTGGGAGCACCCAGTGCCCTAACAACCACACCACCTGCTGGTCACCAAAAAATCTTTTTTTAGAATTATTTTATTTAAACTTGTTTGTTTATAACTTGACCAAAGAGGGGCAGAGTGAAAAAGTGAGAGGGAAGAAAAGTGAGAAAGCAAGCTGCCAGGTCCAGGACTCAAACTGTGGTTGACTATGTGGGAATTCAGCACCCTTAACCACCATGCCACCTGCTAGCCCCTACAAAGATAAATCTTAAGGCATCTGTTTCAGGCTCAGAAGATCTGAAACTTTGAAAGCAGCTGCCTGTGGTGGGGGTGGGGAGGATGGGAGGAATACTGAAAATCACTGAAAAATAACTATACGGGGTCAGCAGGTAGCATGGTGGTTAAGGGCGCTGGATTCCGGCATGGGCCAATTGCAGTTCAAGTCCAGGATCCAGTGGTTTGCTTTCTTGCTTTCCCTTTCTCTCTCCGGGTCAAACTGAAATAATACTATTGGAACCAGCAGTTGGCATAATTGCTATGTCTGGACTCCCATTTAGTTGGCCAGAGTTGGAGTCCCAGACCTGATGGCTTGTAAACTCAGGCCTGGAACGAGCGTGCATGCCCAAGATCCTGAGAGGAGAAGGGATCGCGGCATGGCCATCCCACCTGGGGGGTGATTTCTTGCTTTCTGTCTTTCTCTGTCTCTGTCTTTGGCGAGCACATGCACCCTATAGCAAAAAACCTCTCCAAATAAATAAATAAAAACCTAATAATAATAACAAATGGAATTAAATAATTATGTAAAACAATATAACAACTATGGGACCAGCAGTTAGCATAATGGCCATGTCACCGGACTCCCATGTAGTTGACTGCTGTTCGAGTCCTGGACCCGGTGGCTTCAACTCATGCTGGGCGCCTGTGCATGTGTGTCCAAGATCCCGAGAAGAGAATGGATGAGAAGGGATTGTAGCATGGGCATCCCCACTGGGGGTGATTTCTCGTTCTCTTTGTTTCTCTGTCTTTCTGGTGAATGCATGTGCCCTATAGCAAAAACCTCTCAAAAAACAACTATAGTTTTGTCAAAGAATCCTAAAAGATCCAAAAAGCCTGGTTAAGATCAACAGAAAACAATAAATTAGAGATAAGTATAAAATAAGTTATTTTAGAAACCAAGAAAACTTAATTTAAAAAACCTTTATTAAAGGATTATTAACTTTAAGACAAACTCCACAAGACTCCTGCCTCTCCATTCTAGTCTTCATTTAGCAAACCCCAGGCTGCTAGCTATAGTATAGATCCATATGTTTCAGGTAATATGACTTGGAAGGGCACTTCTAGTGCTGACCTATGTTGGTGTTAATGGGGTAATGAAAATTGGTAGAACTCAGGCTGTGAATTTACCTGTTAGAAAGACAGCAAATCTGGCACTGATATGCTGAATTTGCAGGTTTATTAAACACTTCAAAATGTCTGCTTTTGTTGATGATCGAGAGTCACACTGGTGATAATGAAGCAATTCAATGATATTTGCACTCTGATATGATTTCAAAATTAAGTTCTTTTTATGTGCAATTGAATCCACTCTGTGGGAAGAAAATATATAGTAGGAATATAGGTATCATTACAAAAGAAAGAGACATCACACATTTATCGGCTATTATTGTAAACCATGTGGGTTGGCAAGTCTCATTAATTTCTAGTTAATTTTGGACCTTACTACATAATATACTGTAGAGCAATGAATTTCTTCTATGCTTATCATGCTTCATGGTCAGATAATTATCAGCTTTATTCAAAATTGATAGCAGCTAGAATTTTCTTAATTTCTCACCTTGGGCCTAGCAGACAGCACAATGGCTACCTTGCTGTACTCCCACAGAATCAACCGTGGTTTGAATCCTGGACCTGCAGCTTAAAATTCACACTAAGCGTGGGTATCCAAGATCCCAAGAGGATAATGGACTGCAGTGTGGCCATCCCCACCGGGGATGCTTTCTCCGTCTCTGTGGCGAGTGCATATGCCCTATAGCAAAAACCTCTCTCCTAAATTGTTTTTCCCCTCATCTCCCTTAACATTCTTTCAATCTTATCTTCCTCCCTTAGAGGAAAATGCATTTATACTCTTCTGTCACCTCTTCTTTTGCCCTTGATTCCATCTCTCCAGTCTTCATCACTTATACTATATCCAGCTTGTTGGAGAAAAATAAAAATGACACATTCTCATAGCCTAGCAGCCATCACCATTAAAATCATGATAAATTTCTTTTCATGCCCTTTCCTTTGTCTATATAAATCTCTTTTTATATGATTAGTTTTATATTGATTAGTTTTGTGGAAGCTACTTCTATGTTATTCCCTAGTACTGTCAATAAAAATTTTTATATGCTTTTATTTACAGTGTAAGCTTAAATGGTAGGATGGTGGTATTTTGTATAAATAATGTATTTATATAGTTCATATGTCTATTTTTCTTGTTCGTGCATAGAGATGCAACTGAGTCTACTTGTCTATGCCTAGAGATGCAACTGAGTTTTTCAAAAATATTTTTTTAAAGAATTCTTTTATTTAACTTTATTTATTTTAATTTGACCAGAGAGGGAGGGAGGAAGGGAGAGAGAGAGAAAGCAAGCTGCCAGGTTCAGGACTTGAACCGTGGTTGGCCATGTGGGAGTCCATTGTCTTAACCACCACGCCACCTGCTGGCCCCACTGAGGTTGGTTTTGTTAACTACTGATATCCACCTAGCTATGACCATCTTTGCAGAAACAGTGGTTTATAAATGTTAGTTTTTGTTTTCAGTTTTAGATACATTCCCACAAAAGTCAAAGGATATGAGTTTTATGATGTGTTTCTCACTGCTCCTGTTACACAATGCCCAACTGCTATGGTTTGAAGACGTAACAGTGCCAACAGAAATATGTATTTCTGGTTACTCAGTTTAGAAATGTTAAATTATTTTAATTAATTTTTTTTTTTGAGAGATTTTTGCCATAGGTATGTCCACTTGCTGGAGATACAGAAAGACAGAAAGTGAGAAATCACTCCCCAGAAGGGACGGCCATGCTACAATCCCTTCTCCCCTCAGGATTTTGGGCACTCACACACATGTGCCCAGTGTAAGTTTCAAGCTGCTGGGTCGAGGACTTGAACCATGGTTGACTATATGGGAGTCCAGTGCCTTAACCACACCACCTGCTGGTCCCTATACATCCCTTTTTAAAAGATAGGTCCTTACCATGCCATCTTTCTGCTTTAGCCTCCCACCCAGGACTATAGGTGCATGTCCACACCTGGTTCTGTCTTCAGCAGGGTCTGTGTTGCTCAGTTGGGCCTCCACTGGCTCACAATCCTCTCGCCCTACCCTCCTAAATTGCTGGGATTGCAGGTACATGCCACCACGCTGTATTTCGGTTTGAATAGGGGTTAAGCCCAGGCCTCTCCCACGTGGTTCCAGACTATAGCAGCATATGCTAGGTGTGCTATGGCACTCTAACACTTTTTGTTTTGTTTCTTAAATGGTAGGGAATATGAACACTCTTATGAGAGAAAGTCTTTTCATGTATTTTATTTTAGAGATCAGTCTTTTGGAGAACAACATTTTCTGATGGGCTTCAACCCCAAAACTTATTACTTATTTGACCTTGATCAAATTTTTTGTCCATTCTATACTTCCACATCATGAAAACAAGGATTTACTACCAACCTCCTGGAGATGAGGTCTGAATGATATAATGGATATAAAGCACCTAACAGTGCCTGGAACTGTGGTCATTTTACATCTTATCTTAATTGAAAAATAAAGTTAACAGGGCCTGAAGGTGGCATGGTGGTTATAGGCGCTGGACTTGCACATGGTCCACAGTGGTTTGAGTCTTGGACCTGGTGGCTTGCTTTCTCACTTTCTCCCTGCCTCTCTCTCATTCTATCCCTTTCTGGGCAAATTAAAATAAATAAATGGATGGATAAAGTTAAATAAAATAATTCTTAAAAATATCAAGCTAGGTGACTGGCGGGTAGCATGGTGGTTAAGGCAGGCCCTGGGGAGTGGGTAGAAGGGTGGGCAGAAAGCACTCCCCACGGTTTGAGTCCTGGGCCTAGTGGCTTGTTTTCTCACTTTCCCTCTCTCTCTTTCTCTGTTCAAATTAAAATAAATAAATGAATAAATAAAATAAAAATTAAAAAAATAATAATAAAAGAAAGCACTCCCCAGGGATGACAGCCATGCTGCAATCCCTTTTCTTCCATTTTCCTCTTCGTAAACATGCCACACACACCTGGCATGTTTTTCAAGCCACTAGGTATAGGACTTGAAGTAAGTTATGTGGGATCTAGCTGCCTCAACTACCATGTAGAGTTCAATGTATTTTTCAGTTCATGGCAGTAGAGCCTGAGACTACTTGGACACTTTGACTAAGTGAGTTCCTTACAACTCTTAGTCTACAGAAGTACGTGCTTCAAACTACTGATTCTGGTTTCAGCACACAGCTCCCTTCACTGGAAGTTCTGCTTACAAAATAAACATGCAGCAGATCTTAATCTTGTGTTCAGTGATGAGGGTAATTTCCAATCTAGCATGATGTATTAAGCTCTAGCATATGGAAAAACACAAGAGCATATGAAACTTGGGGTAAATCTACTCTTTCCATGAAATCCTTACCTTACATCTTCTTTTAGCTTTTTATTTTCCCTATAGTGAAGCAGCCACTTCCACCTTCCATTTCCATTTAGCTTTTCCAGGATTTTGACCATTTCCTTTAGTTGAACTAGAGGACAGAATAAGTTTGGCAAGAGAAGACATATTTTAGGTTTTTTTTTTCCTTTGGCTCATGCAAATTAGTCATTACAAGTTAAAAAACAAAAAAAAAACAAAAAAACCCCCATAGTTGAGTGTACATTGTCACTGTCATTAAAGCCAACACCAGTTAAAGCTGTGCCAATAGGAACCCTAAATGCAATAGAGAAGATGAGGTTCCCAAGTAACAGAATCTACATATATTTTTGTTCTATTTCCATGCAGAATTCACACTAGTTTAGGTACAGTTTTCTGACCTAGAAGTGGCAACCAGAAACCGAGTTCTAATATGATCAGAGTTAGGGTAAGTTTAGATTATATATAAAAGTGTCTGCCACTCATATCCATGGCCTGGTGGTTAAGGTAGCTGGATCTCATATGCCTGACCATGTGATTTAGTCCTGGACCTGGCAGCTTGAGAAAATATGCCAAGTGTGTGCACATGCATGCCTAAAATCCCAATGTAGGGAGAAGGGATTACAGTATAACCATTCCCCATGGGAGGTGCTTTCTCTACTCCTCTCAGTGTGCAAGTGCACGTGCCTTCTAACAGAACAAGTATGAGAAAGGTGAATTCTGTGTGTGTGTTCTGGCACATGACTAAACAAGACAACTTTCAGTAACCACTTTTTGATTACTATCATATCAGTAAGATGAGCAGGATGATGCCTTTAGAAATGAAAAGGGTTAATTCTAAACAAATTTAATATGTAGTTGAGTTGGAACACAAAGGAGTTAAACATTATCAAAATCTCAAATTTGTATGAAAAGGAGTTGGAAGGAAACTCAGATAAGCAGGCAAGTGGTGAAGATAATCAGAAGGTCATGACTGTAAGAGAACTGCTATATGAAAGTGATTGGGAGCAGATAGCAGAAATTTAGCCCCAAATAGGTGGCAGCTAGTATTTTTAGAGGTGGTAATTTGTCTGTGATCTAAGAGTATTTGGGGAGGAGAAATTGAACTACATTTCTGAGAACAGATAAAACAAATAAGACCAACCTAAAGTTAAAGTTTCTAATATCTTCTCATCTGAGATCACAAAGCCTCCTGTACGAAACAGCTCTTGGTAGGTATAATCAAGGACATCCTCAGGACAGTCTACCCCAGCAAAGATGACACTGGGAAAATGCTTCAGCTTCAGTAAAGAAGGAATCTGTTAAACATAAAAGGAACCCTGTGAAGACAGTTTTTTTGGGCATGTTTCATTAAAACACTTTCATCACTTTTCTATCCAAGGGTTTCAAGGTCCAGGAACGATGAAAAAAACCTTTAACTTGGATTGCTGACTGATAATTTTGCCATATATGAGGGATATGAACTTGGCTCATTATCAGTGTTTGCAAACTGACCAAAACTAAGAGGCCTCAGGCTAGGTGATGGCATGGTGATTAAGGTGGCTGAATCCCACATGTTTGATGATGTGGTTTGAGTCCCTAGACCCAACTGCTTGGAAACACACTGGACACCAAGTTTATGTGTGCCCAAAACCCCGAGGAGAAGGGACTGTAGTGTCACCATCACCCCACTGGATTCTCTCTTTCTCCCTAGCAAGTGCACATGTCCAAAAGTAAATTTAAGAAAAAAAAAAAAAGAAAAGAAAAAAAAGAAACGTTTCTCTAACTCCCAAAGGAAGGAAGTAATTCACAAGAGAAGAGCACATTTGAGTTTTTGGGGACCTGTGAAGTAATGAGTGAGGTCCCATACACTCAGTCATCTCATTTCCATCTCATGTGGGCCTCAGTGTTGTTTGGCTTCACGTCACTACCTACTTTCAATAGCAGGATTATAAATCCATAGTTTATGTCCATAAATCGGATCTTCTTGGGATAAGCAATTATTTCTATTCAACTAGTAGATAGTAAACTATATTAAGAAAAATCTCACAAATCCTTTTACATAAGATATCTTATTCATAGACATCAAGCAGATTTAACTCTTCGAAGAGAAAAATTGACAATCATTCACCTCTTTCCATAGCTCTCCTTTCAATTAATGTGAATGTTTTCTTAACTCTCTGAAACGTCACCTGCCCTACAAATACCTTGGTAATATAACAGTATCCTATAGTACATCAACTCGATCCCATTATCCACTCAAAGGCCCAGTGATAATTTGTATCAGTTTTTTCCCTTCACACAAAAAGGCAGACATGAGTCAGATCACAATTTAAGTGCCTATAATACATTTCTTTGTAAGAAAGATATTTCCAAACGTACCTGATGCAAGTGTGATGAAAGATCTTCATTTCTGATGATGACTAAGAAGGTATCATTCTCTCTGTGAAAAGCTTGACAGAAATGCTGAGGTTCAATTTCTTTATGACCTCTTTTCCTCAGAATGTTCTGCAAGATTTACAAATACATTTATTTTTTTAAAACAGATACCACGAGGCCGGCAGGTGGCATGATGATTAAAGTGCTGGACTCCCACATGGCTAACCATGGTTCAAGTCCTGGACCTGGTGGTTCTCACTTTCCATCTCTTTGTCTGTCTCTAGTCAAACTGGATAATAATAAAGTTAAAATGAAATAACTTTTATAGTTTATATTTTACACATTTCTAAAAATTATTATTTATTTATTTATTAATTTATTTATTTTTAGAGGTTTTTGCTATAGGGCACGTGTGCTTACCAGAAAGACAGAGTGAGACAGAGACAGAAAGCAAGAAATCATCCCCCAGGGAAGATGGCCATGCCGCCGTAATCCCTTCTCCTCCATTCTCCTCTCGGGATCTTGGGCATACATGCACACGCGCCTGGTGTGGTTTAAGCCACCGGGTCCAGGGCTTGAACCGCGGCCGACTACATGGGAGTACAGCGACATAGCCATTAAGCTAACTGCTGGTCCTACCTTTATAGTTTATATTTTAAAACTCCATGAAAAAAGCACATCTAGACTAGCTCTATGACAGAGCAGTAACGTTCTACTTAAGTCAAATGCCAAAGATGCCCACAGTTTAAATCCCTGGCCTTAAGTATCCTAAAATCCTCTAGATGCTTGTGCAAGTGCCAAGATGTGCTAGAGGACTGGAGGAACGGGACTGTAGTGTGATCAAACACAGTGGAGGGTACTCATCTCTCACATGTACATACACGGTCTATTATGAATAAAGAAAAAAAGTACATCCTATATACTAAATTATGGCTTAATATAAGGCAACATAAATGGAAATTTGTTGCACTACTAAATCATCTATATAAAACAAATCACATCTAAACAACTGGGTTAATAAGTTTATTTTGTAAGTAAACCGTGTATGATAAAATCTCTATGTCCATATGGTATCAAACTGATTTTTCTTTTTAATAAACTACATAAGTGAGTGCTACCTTCTTTAAGGAGGTATGAGATAGTTTGGGATGCTGGATATTTTAAGAATGCCAGCTTTACTAAAAATATTTCTAGAACTTAAAAAAATTAGTATCTATGCATTCCTTTATTATTAATAGGTACTGACTTTAGAAAGGGTCATTAGTATCTTAGAATTATATCACAGAATAAGGTAGGTGACATAGTTTAAACTACATGTGCTTTATAAGAGGCTGTGGTGACACTTTATTAAGTTTTCATTTGAGCATAGCTCTTGGATCTTGAAACAGTTAACACTTTTTATTAGTATTTTATTTAACTTTATTTATTTTAATTTGACCAGAGAGAGAGAAAGTGAGAAAGCGAGCTGCCAGGTCTAGGACTTGCATAGTGGTCAGCCATGTGGGAGTCCAGCATCTTTAACCACCATGCCACCTGCCAGTCCTGAAACAAGTTAACATTTTGACCATCTCCATTTGTTATTCAAAATTTATGGTACAAATTTCAAAGAAATTCTTACAAGATTTCAAAGCCTACTGAAATATATAAATATAAATCTTTAGTTCTCACTTGGCTATTCTGTCATGTGCACAGATTTCAATAGTAATAGGAAACCCTGCAGATTTTCCTCATCTTCTAAATAAATAGGCCTACCATTCCATCACAAATTAATGCCTTAGGATCTGAAGGACAGAAGAATTATCTGAGATGTTTTTGAGTTTTTAAATCATTCTGCTCTTGATGGTACATGGTTTTCAAGTATATTTTAGATGTGTCTACTTTTTCACTTGAGGTAAGTTTAGTTTTATCTTTGCACAAAATTAGTTATTTCCTGTTGTAGGTAGTAGTGGCCACATGATAAAATATGGTGAAATGATACATTCATTATGAAAAAAGCATAATACCTGAAGTACTTCTACCACAAACAAAACTGGGTACCACTATGATCTCTCTTCTACATGAAAAACAGAATTATTTGCTCTGGAAAGGAAGTGAGAACTAAGGTTCTTCCTCAGCTGCTTTTGAGTAGATGGGAGCAACAGGAATCCAAATATTTTGCTCACTGTGGCAAAACAGGTACATGACCACGATGCTGACTCATTCTAGCACATGTCAGAGGCCAGCACATGGCACAGTGGTTGAGGCAGCCGGATACCCCATGGCTGACCGAGTGGTTTGAGTCCTGGACCCAGAGACCTGAAAAACACATCAGGTGTGTGCATGTCCCAAATCCCAAGAGAATGGAGAAGGGACGGCAGCATAGCCACCCCCTCGGGGGTGGGGAGGTAGGGGGTGGTGGTTCTTTCTCACTTTCTCTCTCCCCTGGAAGCACATATGCCCTATAGCAAACAAAAAAATATTTTTTTAAATCGCAAAAAATGTGTAAGGATATATATTTTTCTATAACTGTACAATATGTTTGTTTTAAAATTAAGTTATTACAAGAGTCAAAAGGTTAAAAATTTTTGAATTTACAGAGTAGCTACAATAAGTTGATATTAGTTTATTATTGATAAAGAAAATCTGAAAATTCAGTGTACCTTAAGTGTACAGTGTTTATAAAATCTACAACAGCCAACAGTAACACCCAGGGCCTTCACTTTCATTCACCACTCACTGGTTGACTCGCTCAGAGCAACTTCCAGTCCTGTAAGCTCCATTAGTGGCAAATGCCCTTTACAGGTAGACCACTTATAATTTTTGAAAACATATTTTTACTCTATCTTTTCTATGTTTAGATACATACTATTGTGTTCCAACTGCCTACAGTATTCTGAACAGTAACATGCTATACAGGTTTATAGCCTACAAGCAACAAGTTATATAATATACAGACTGGGTGTGTGGTAGAATGTCACTTAGGTTTGTATAAATATATGATGTCTGCACAAAGACAAAAATGTCTATGAAGGCATTTCTCAGAAGGTATCCCTGACATTAAAAGACACAGCTATATATGAAGTATTAGAAAAATATGGCACTTTACCTTTGTTCTTACAAAAAATGATTTGTCTTCTGTTTCAACAATGTAAAATAGGAAGGTACTCTTGCAAGCCTCTTTCATAACACTTGTTAGTTTGACATGCAAATTTGTACACAGGTCTGTAATCATGTCTTCATAAGAGGCTGACCGTCTTGGGAAAGATGAGTACCTCTCTTGAGAAGTGGCTTCTCCAGCATCAACATTTAACTCTTTATCTTGGAGAACTACCTGCTTGCTATTCATCATCACCTTATCGAATTCAGCATATTCATTGAGAATAAGTGATATATCGTTCCGAGAGTCTTTCAAAGTGCTGTTATATTTCAGTTTGTTGAGGTGAAAAGAAACAGTCTGATTTTTTTGAGATTTTGTAAGATTGTTACCATGACAACATCTCTCCTTCCAGAAGGAAGAAGAGCTACCCAGATTACTGGATGTGTGGCCTCTCCTGTGCTGATCCTGTTCTCTGGCATCTGAGTGCATCACTGTCACCAGAAGAGGGCTTCTGCTCCTAGACACAGAACGAACAATTGGGACTTCAGATGATTTTGTCAAAGGGAAAGGTCCCATGGCAACCTGGATAGGTGACTCCTTTGGAAAGACATTAGCGGAAAAAACAGAACGCTGAGAATGTCCACTCTTTACTATTTGTTTTACCTTATATGCAAAACGTAAAAACTCCATATCTAATGTATTCTGAGTGAGACTGTCTGTCACCTGCCAAGTACTTGTCAAGGAGCTGAGCAAGCTGCAGTTTTCAGTAAAACTCTGGTACCTCCTCAGGGTATGCAAAGTTCTTGCGGTATCTTTGACTTCTTTTGTTATAGTAAAGTTAGCATAGGTCCTAGGGATACCAAGGAGATCTCGGATTTGGACATAACAGGGCACACGTTTATCTCCTCTCTTTATTCCAGTGGGCCAGTTTCTGGGAGGAATGCTCGAACCTGCTCTCAGAACCTGGTTAGAGTAGCCCCAGTCTTCATTATCATTAGGGCGCCGGCTCATAAAAGAGGAATAACCATCTTTTGTAGCACCATTTTTTCTAGTACAATTGCCTCTCAAAGTGCAAGAATCCTCCATGTTTCGTTTAAGATTTCTACCAAGACAATCTTCATCAGAGTGTCCAGAAAGTGGTTCGTAGTGCATGTCAGGGTTCACACTGATCTCCCTATTTCTGTCCAGAGTTCTAGAATCAGCATCAGTCCTGAGCCCCTGACTTGTGCTTTCACTGTCTAGATGTTCTTTAGAGACTCCATAAACAAGACAGTCAAATGATTTGGGAGCAAAGGAAGCAGAAGTTTCTTTATTTATATTTTCACTGATGTCTGTTATATTTTTGTGAGAATCAGAATACATAGAGAAAACTCCATTCAACAGCTCTTTTGTTTCACATGTGGACATATCTTGCAGCATGTGGATTTTTTGTTCATCTTTTAGAGATTTGGTGTTAGACTGAGGGCCAACAGCACTCAGATCAGTGGTTTCTTCATGTAACTTGGCTTGTGTTTCATTACTGTTAGATAAATTGGCCATTCTAACTGGTATTTCCTGTTTTTGAGGCCCTGACTCTCCTATTTTTGGTTGTGGATAATGGGTTAATGTAGTACTATCTGAAGAAGAATCAAGTTTTGGGATCTCTAAGTGCATATGTGGCTGTGTAACACCAACCCCAACAACTGACTCAGAGCTAAAGGACCTAACTTGCAAATAGGTGTCTTTGTCTGTTTCCAAATTATTTTCAAGATTTTTCTTAATGGTTTTAGGTGTAGTCTGCTGTTTTAATGATACTGTTGCTATACCAGGTGAAGCAGTGGTAGAAACCAATGTGTCAGTCAAAGACTTATTTTCAATAATCTTTGTAAGACTAAATGGATTTTCTAAGTCACTGGACTCCAAGACATGTTCTAAGTCCACAGTTCTATTTTCTATGCTAATTGGCTGCAGTGGAGTTCCTGACTTTATTGGTTTTTCGAGAGAAGGCCTGGTGTTACCTCTGCCTCTGGCAGTTGGGGTAGTCTGGTATAACTCTGTATCACAGCATGGCACCTTTTCTAACAAAGATAAACCCTCACCACACTCACCTGGGACAATTTTCTCAGTTGCTTTACCAGGAAGGATTAGTTTGTCCTTTCTCCCTGGGTGATTAATTAATATTAGAGGCATTTCAGCAGAGAGCTGCATTTGTTGTACATGAGTTAAGTTTTCTTGTCCTACTGGATAAGCAGGACCTACAATAGTATTTTCCTTTTCTGTTATGGTTAAATCTCCCGACTCAATCTGGGAGAACGAGTTACTTTTTTCATACCGTGTACCATGAAGTTTTAAACTACATGAAGATACAGCCTGAGATGGTCGTGTCTCTTCAGTTGGTACTGGGGGGTCAGGACTAGAAGCTGGTGACACTTCTTCAATCAGAGAATCAAAGGGAAAGTCAGAGGTAACATTAATTTCCTCTGCAATCTCTAGGGTACAATTTTCTTTAGATACTATTAAGGTAACTGGTTGTAAATTGCCATCTTTTGTCTCCTTATTTATTAACGGTTCTTCTGATACTGTAGGATACACTGACATATAGTCAACTGAACTCATTTCTCTGTTTTCTGTAAGGGTCACCTCTTCTGGTTCAACTATTTCTTCAGTTATATTCTGAAGTTCTAAATTTGATATTGGGTTCTCCTTAAATTGCTCTATTTCACCAGTAGGAATTTTTTCTCTGGGACTTACAGGTGGAGATATTGTGAGAGTTAGGTCAATATCAGAATCTTCCTCTGATAACTCTAGGCTTACCTCCTCTCTAATCATAGGTAGGCCAGTTTGTTTACTAAATACTGAATTGACTGATTCAAAATTCCTATTTTTGCTGTTTAGACTACTGTCATTTTTCTCCACTTCTAAAAAGTGATTAAATGTATTATTTCTTGATGGAATATGATTAAGTAAATAGTTTTTCTCCAAGTTTGCAGAGGCTGAAGAGACTACTTCCACCTGTGATGGCTCAATAATCTCCTCTGAAGATATGCTAAAGAGACTCTGAGTTTGTAGAAACAACCCTTGAGAGTGTTTCATTTCATCACTGGGTAGTGGACAACTAGGACTTTTAACTAATGATAATGCCTCCATTACCACTGCCTTATCGGATGGTGATGAGGAGACTGGGTGAGTTATCTCTTTCTGTAATGAACATTTATCTTTAGAATGTCTAAGACTTGTAGCAGGTGATACTTGCTTAATCAACTCCGTATTAAAAACTGTAGGTTTATCAGCTGTATTTACCACTTCTCCCTCTAATGGTATATAGGCATTTTTTTCAAAAGTAAGAGTAACTGGTTCCAGGTTAATCATTACATAGCCCACATGATCATCCTTTCTTTCCAGAGAAGGCTGACATTCATTGTTTATGGAACTGTTATGCTGAATGAGGTCCTCGAAAGCACCAGTCTTTGTTTGCGCTGTTGGGAGAAAAGTATCAACTTTGCTTTCAAGGGTGCTGTACATAGATTTTTGACACATCACTGACTGATTGCTGGTCCCATCATAAAGCTTGGTGAATGTAGCTTGTGTGACAGTATCATTATAAGAATTCCCTCTTGTGCTGTCAAGTGGTTGACAAGTTTTATCGTTACCAAGAAGAGAAGGTCCATTAATTTGGGTACATCCAATACTAGGACACGTAAGATTAGAAGTCTCTAGTTTACCTGATGATTCTTGTTGAGCTTTCCCACCAATTACCTGAAATGATAACAGTGAAAAAAGGGAGAAAAAAAAAAAGTCAAATAGACTTTTTTAAACAATTACATACATAATATATATATATTAAAAAAAAAACCAAACAGGATTAATTTTAGCTAGTCCCTTGTCTTTTGAATCATCTAATCTACAGGAACATCACAGGGGAGAGATCAACCAAATGTTTTTTTAAAAGGATTTTTTTTTTTTTTTAAAAGGTTTTGTTTTGTTTTTTTTTGCCATAAGGTGTATGCACTTGCCAGAGAGAGATAGAAGGAGAGTAAGAAATCATCCCTTAGGAGGGACTGCCCATGTCACAATCTCTTCTCCATTTGCCTCCTGGGATTTTGGGCATGCACACACACATGCCTGGTGGGATTTTCAAGCTGCCAGGCCCAGGACTCAAATGATTGTCAACTATGTGGGAATACAGTTTCTTAACCACCATGCTACTTGATTATCTCAATCTCCCTCTCTTTAGATTGGCTAAAAATAACCCAAAATTGGGACCGGCAGTCAGCATAATAGCTATGTTGCTGGACTCCCATGTAGTTGACTGTGGTTCAAGTCCTGGACCCAGTGGCTTAAACTCATATTAGGCCCATGTGCATGTGTGCCCCAAGGTCCTGAGAGGAGAACAGGGAAGAGATTGTGGCATGGCCACACCCCTGGGGGGTGATTTCTCACTTTTTATCTGTCTCTGTCTTTCTGGTGAGCACATGGGCCCTATAGCAAAAACTTCTAAAAACAAAACAATCTAAAATTAGGGAAAATATACACATAGGGCTGGCCTGGTAGACTAGGGGTTAAGGGGACCAGATCCCAGATGGCCAACTATCATGTGAATACCAGGCCCAGTAGCTTGAAAAACAGACCAGGCAAGCATGTGTGCGTGCGTGCCCAAGATCCCGAGCGGAGAATGGAAGAGAAGGGATTGCAGCCTGGCCATCCCCCCTGAGGGGTGATTTCTCGCTTTCTGTCTCTCTGTCTCTGTCTGGTGAGCGCACGCGCCCTATAGCAAAAAAACCTCTCCCAACAACAGCAACAAATAAAATCAATGCCTACCCCACATTAAGACAGGAATCACAGGTGCTGCCCAAACCCAAGCAAAACAATTTTTTAGCTTTCTGTTTATCTGAGTGCATGTACTCTCCAAAGAAAAATGGAGGGAAAGATAGAGCTACCCATGTCACAATCTTGTTCTCTCTACTTCTTGAGCCCATCTTGATTTGGGACATACTTGCACATGCACCCATAATGTTTTCCAAGCTGTCAGGGCCAGAATTCAAACTGTGGTTGGCCACGTGGAATCCTCTTTGCTATGCACAGGGATTAAAAGCTTTACTACAGGGCTGGCCTCCATGCAAAATATTCTAGAATAAATTTGGGTGAAAGTTTAAAAAGGCAGATATTTTACCAATTTACTTAAGAATTTTGTTAGGAACCAGCAGATTGTGTGGTGGTTAGGGCACTGGACTTCCACATGGCTTGGTTCAATTCCTGGACCTGGTGGCTTGATTTCTCACTTCCCCTGTCCCTCTGAAGTTAAAAATAATAATAGTAAATAATTCTTTAAAAAAAAAAAAAGAAAAAAGAATTTTGTTGTAACTTTTTGATTTGCTCCAGATAAAACCTGGATTATCTGGCCTAGATAAAACACTGCTTGAAAACAAACAAACCAAACTGTATTTTGCATAGTTACAAACATTACCTATTAACAGTATTTCCTTATTTTATTGTTCAGTATTTGTCTTCAAAAGAAATTTAAGGCTAAGCGGGACCAGCAGTTAGCATAATGGCTATGTCACTGTACTCCCATGTAGTCGACAGCGGTTCGAGTTCCAAACCTGGTAGCTTAACTCACGCTGGACATGTGTGTGCGTGCCCAAGATCCTGAGAGGAGAATGGAGGAAAAGGGATTGCAGTGTGGCCATGCCCCCTGCGGGATGGGGTGATTTCTCACTTTCTGTCTCTCTGGTGATCACAAGTGCCCTATAGCAAAAACCTCTCAAAAAAACAAAACAAACAAAAAGAAAGAAAGAAAGAAAGAAAGAAAGAAAGAAAGAAAGAAAGAAAATGTAAGGCTAAGCAGCAGCAGCATAAGCTACAGGGTACCACTCTACCACTGGTGGTTTGGATTTCAGATTGACCTGAGAACCTCCATGATCCTGGCTAGCTGGAAGGCTGCAGTGAGTAGGGGACTTCCGTGCAAGACCCTGATGAGAATGCCTATCTCTCACTTTCTGTCTCCCTCTCATGAAAGTAGTAAAATAATAATTTAAATTAGTTTTAGTTTAAGGTTTACCAAAACATTTCTAATATTTGATCCTTAAACAATATTCTAGATAGGCCATTTTTACAGATACTGCAGAACCTCCCCCCACCCCAACCCGATCTGTGAGGAGTAAGTTCTAAGACTCCCAGTGGACATCTGAAACTGTGGATAGTAATGAACCCAATACGTACTGTTTTTTTCCTGTATATACATACTTATGATAAAGTTTAATTCATAAGTAGGTAAGAATGTAGAAATAATTAAACAATTACAATAATATATACATAAAAAAGTTATGTGAATGTGATCACTCCACCACCTCGCCCCTTTCCTCCCTCTCTCCCAAAGCACTGTATTATATTATACCATAGGTAAATGAAACCATGGAAAGGAGGACTGCAGGTGACGGGGGAGACTATTATTTTTAATTTGCCATTAGGCACATGTACTCACCAGAGAGAGACAGAAAGAGAGAGGGAAAGTGAGAAAGCAAGCTGCCAGGTCTGGTCCTTGAACTGTAGTCATCTCTTTTAAAAAATCAGAAATTTAAAAAATTAGGAATATAGGGCCAGCTGGTGGCATAGTGGTTAAGGTGGCTGGATCCCAAATGACTGACTTTACTGTTCAAGTACTGGACCCAGTCGCTTCAAAAACATGCTAGATGTGTGTGTGTGTGCCCAAAATCTTGAGATGAGAATAAAGAGGGCATGGCCAACCCTCTGGGAGAGTAGGGGGGATGTGGAAGAGTGATTTTTCTCTGGTGACTGCATAAGCCCTATAGCAAAACTTAAAAAAAAAAAAAAAAAGAGGGAAATGAATTCAAGGAGAAAAATTAATTGCTCCAAATGATAAAAACTAGTAACTGACAGACACAATTATGGTGCTGCTAGATTATCTGACCCCTGTAATTTTTTTTTACTTAGATTTTTTCAATCTGGATGGCAGATAAACTCTACCTGCAGACAATTTTGAACATTTTTTTAAAACTAAGTTTTTGGCATTATAATCCTTTACATAGTTGGAGAATGCATTTCCCAAAACGGAACAGTTTTGAATATAATTCTGCATACAAAAAATAAATTCTCCAAAAATAATACCAGTATTTGTAGTGGCAAGCTTTACCTACCTCACTATTACGAGTATAGATGAAATTCTGGTTTTCTGGGGTATCTGGATGAAATTCTCTTATGAAAATTTCTTCCTGCTTATTCTGTACACAGAGTTCTAAGCCTCTGGCAGGTGGTGGTTTGAGGAAAGGAAGTAGGCAGTTAGAATTGGAGAAGGACAGTCTGGCAGCATGACTTGCAGAAGTTTCATTAGTCTCCAAGACAGGGTCTGTAGAACATCTTTCCATATTGGGAGATTCTGCAATTTCACTGAGTTCAAAAGATTCCAACATTGTATTTATAGACACATATTTGTCTGGGTTGCTGTGTTCTACCACTTTTCGGGATGATCGTATGACTTTGTTTTGACTGCTGTAAAACAGAGCTACCCACATATGAAGTAAAAGCTTCACTTCTTCCACATTTTCAGGCAAATCAGTATTCCAGGGACTGAGATTTTAAAGAAAAAACACAAAATCCTTTAAAAGTAGTTATTTCAGTTGATTATCAGAAGCAAGTACTCACATTATTAACATTTATTTTTCAGTTTAATTTCAAAAAATCACACATATAAAACAATGAGTAAGTTTAAATATGAAGTTGACTTAAGTAAAGTAACTCTGAATCTAACTAACTCATTTTATAGAGAAGGGTTCTGAAAATCAGAACATTTAGATGCTTTTATTCAAATTACAAAACACAACAGAATCATGTTCTGAACACAGGTCTTCATAGCCTAGCCTTTGTCTTTTATACCACAAAAACTCCCTGTGGACACAGTATATGTACTCAAGGTTTCAATAACTACCCAATTCCTCATACCCTGCTTTTGCTAAATCTGGCTGACTCATTTCTTTCCCACTTTGTGTCTCTAATCTATTAGATGGGAGTCTTAAGATTAAAGTATCTCTCTGGACAATTCAGCAGACTTGTACTATTTCCAAAGTACACTTCCAGAAAATATCCTGAAGAAACAGGGGCCAGAAGGCGGTGTGATGGTTGAAGGTATTGGACTTCCATATGGCTCACTGCAGTTCAAGTCCCGGACCTGGCAGCTTTCTCTCTCTCTCTCTCTCTCTCTCTCTCACTGTCCCTCTCTGGTCATATGAAGATACATAAGTAAATAAAGTTAAATAAAATAATTATTAAAAAAAGAAAGAAACAAGGGGCCAGCAGATGGCATAGCTATTACATCACTGAACTCCCACAAACTGCCGATGGCAGTTTGAGTCCCAAACCTGGTGGCTTGAAACTCACATCAGGTGCGTGTGCGAGTATGCCCAAGACCTGGGAGGAGAATGGAGAAGAGATTGTGGTGTGGCCATTTATCCTGGGGGGTGACAACTCACTTTTCCTATATCTCTCTCTTTGTTGACCCCATGTGCAGTAAGTCAAAAGCCTCTATTTTAAAAAGAAAGAGAGAGAGGGAGGGAGGGAGGGAGGGGAAGGCAGCGGAGGGGAGGGGAGAACAAAGGGAAGACACAAAACATTTCTGGTTATCTGACAGGCAAAAGAAGAGCAGATGGCTGGAATGGGATGAGTTAGGGAGACCACAGTTAGGATACAATTAAAACAGGGTCAAGAAAAAGGAAATAGGGACCAGCAGATAGCTTAATGTTTATGTCACTGGACTCCCACATAATTAACTGTAGTTTGAGTCCTGGACCCAGTGACTTAAAATTCACTCTAGGTGGGTGTGTGTGCATGCCCAGAATCCCAAGAAGAGAATAGAGGAAAAGAGATTGTGACATGGTCATGCCCCTGGGGGGTGATTTCTCACATTGTGTTTCTCTGCCTCTCCAGCAGGTGCATATGGCCTGTAGCAAAAATTTCTCTTTAAAAAAATAAAAATAAGAAATAGATCTCATGAGTATGTGAACATAAATATAAGGAAAGAAGTTTGATATAGAGTCCATTTAGCCACATGTGAAATAGTTCACTAACAAGTAGCTGAATGTCATTCAAACAGTGATAGTTAATCATTTATGGATCAATAGCTGGGCAAAATCCTTGTAATCCTAGTATACGAAACAATCACAGAATGGTGCTATTACTAATTCCATATTTACAAGTGTTGCCCACACAACTTGTCATCCTCCAATGGTATCACCTGCCTGTGCCATGAACCACTCTGCTATTACTGCCTTGATCTCTTCTTAAAGATAGCTGATAGAATGAACCTTTGTAAGACATTCTTATCTATCTAACCAACTTAACAAGCTAGAATTACTCTTTCATATGTTTCTTCTGAAATTGTTTGCAAAACATTATTTCTATATCTTCCATTATTTTATAATAAGGTCTCATCCGAAAATTTAAATCCAAGGCCAAAGAACTTACAAAGGAGCAGTCTGTTCTTAATCCTTGGTAAACATGTATGCTTGATATACCACATTACTGGTTATATGCATACTTCTTTCTCCTTTACTAAAGTTTGTTCCATGTCTCCTAAATCATTCCATTGATCTCAACAGAAAAGTTACATGTACTTTGATGATGCTTCACTCATACTTACCCATGTAATGCTCTTACTACAGTTCTCTCTAGTGGGTTACTGGTATATTTGCTATCCAATCTGAAGGAATAGTCTGTTTCACATTTAAAGGTGACCTTAAAGGAGCCATCACAACTAAAGACGGTATGGGAACAATAAAAATCGTTCAGGCTGGAAGACATCAATCGATTCCTGTGCTTTAACAATGGATCCTCAGAAACCTTTTGTAGAGGGGAGGTATTCTGTTGATGACGAAATGGCATGACTTTTCCCACTGGAGTTCCTGCTTCAGGGCCTTTGGTACCATTCTTGGCAAAGGCAGGGCCTGACACCCCTCTCTGCTGTAAATGTTTCTTTGAATGTTCACCAAGGAGCACAGCATATGAATGTTCCACAGCAACAAAAGAGCTTTGGCTTACATCTGAAGATTCTAGTGTTTCTTCAGTAAGTGATGACTGGGCTTGAACAGTCATCTCAAAACTACAAGAAACTGAGTTATTTTCATCCTGGTTAACGGTTAAGTCTGACTCTGCATTATTCTTCCTGTCAGAGGATGGCACAGGTAATAATCCACCTTTTAGACTTTTAACTCCTCTATGATATTCATGGTCATATGTACCTCGCAAAGAATTTTCTTTAGAGAGTAAAGCATCATTTAGTGACATTTCAGAGCTGGAAAGAGGATCTCCAGGTTCGGCTGGTGGTGTGGAAGAAGTAGCAGAGCTTAATGCTAAATCAGCTAACATATTTAGGGCCTGGGAGTCATAGCTGCCCATGGAGTTCTCAGGAAGATCTTTCTGAGCCATTGTGGTATTTTCTGGCTGAGCTGTATTTATGCTAGTACCTTCTTGACCACCTGATAAAATTTCTGATTGAAGCTGCGAAGCAGTTTCCTCTGTGCCTTCAATATAAAAGAAAAATCAAGTTTGATTTCACAGAATAATTATCTGCCATACTGCTATGCCTTAGTAAAAATAAATGGCTAAGGTAACATATTTAAGAAAAACCTTTGATGTAGTACACAGATTGCATATTAAAATTTTTCTATCAGATTGAGGTCCCTTCAGACGCTCAGATCTATTACGATGCACTAACTATGGAACAAACCTTAAGAAAGATATACATTAATTTAAAAACAGTCAACCTTAAAAAGTGCACATATTGAACTACACATAAAACATACCGCCAAACTCAAGAAATACACAAAAAGGGGAGAAAAAAAAATCTTACCCTTAGAGAGCTTATGTAAGGACAGAAGAAAGTTTGAAGTATGTATTATAGTTTGCTTACATACTTTATTAGAAACCATCAAAATTCAGAACAGAGATGATCCTTAACTATATTGATCTTTAGTTACAAGGTGATGATATGAATACAAACTTAGAAAATTCATATAAACATTAATCACCTTTAAAAATTATTGGGTCATTGGAAAAGTCATGATGTTATTTTTCTATGCAAAAATTTATCATTACTTTCAGATGATCCAATAATTTCGTCACCTTCTAAAACTTCACTTTCAGAATTGAAAACTTTTCTCCTTTATTGTATGCGCAAAGAGCTAATCCATTGTCAACTTTCCCTA